TACTGGTACTTCTCTCAAGGTGCTCTTGTAGGCTGACTGATTACAATATACTGACTACTAAACTAGGGTTCTCCAAGGAGACTATCCTATCCTAGTCTAGATTACCATGAGTCAGGTATTATATCTTTATTTAACAGTCTGTTACACTTCTTTCTGTTGTGCTTTGTTAGCTGTCCTCTGCCCCAGGGTCAAAAAACACAGCACACCACAAAACAACATGCCTATGAAATTTGGAAGAGGAACCTTCTTTACCCATGGGAAAGCCCTTTCTGCTTGCTTTTTAATGTAACCTTGAATTACAAAAGCAATATATTGTTCCCCCTTAGCCTTGTCCAGGATTTCATTGTATATTTGATTATGCTATTTTTCAGAAAGTTCTGTTTGTTTGTTTGAACACTTCTCCTTAAAGGACAGCAAAGCCAAAGACTTCATTTCAGTTATTTGTGTCTGTAAGAAGCATAAAGATCTATCAACTATGTATGTTTGAAGTGCCCTCAAGTGTGTACTGAACACAGTGTATGGGTATTAAATCCATTTGACTGAAGCAGCCATATTCAAAGTAACTTCAGTAGTTTGACTTTATTTAGTAGGCTAATGATGAAAACTAAACAACCCACCCAGCTGGTTGAAGTAATCTCAAAAATAAACTGAAAAGGAATAAAAGTGATCCCTGCTTATCTTTTATCTGAATAATGCCAGTTTCACAACAAATAATGCACAAGGGTGCGTGTCTTCAAAAATACTTGGATGTGTTTGCAGCAAAACTCATTTCCAGAATTTAATATAGAAGTGTTATAAAGACTTTTCACATGTATTTTTATAATGTACGTTATTGCCTGGAAGAGAGCTGAATGAGCTCACAGTCAAAATATCTGGTGATCACGGTCAAAATATCTGCACACAGGAGCTGACAGTATTAATATGATACCGCTATATACTGTGGGTTTGGATTTCAGAACTAAATTGATATAATCCATAAACCCAACTAAATTTCTTTCACACCTAAACATTTCATTAGATTAATGGCCCTAGAAACAGCAATGTAGCTCAAGGACAGTAGCTGAAAATAACTTACATGCTGATCTGCTTTTAGATGCTCAGATGATACGTCAGTCTTCCTTTGTTTTCTGCAGAATGATTCCATAATCTTCTGTTGGACAAATCTCTGTTCTCAGGAGTCTTATAGATGAAATCCTATGTATTTGGAGGTCTGAGAATATTTATCCTCTATCTTGGAATGTGTAAGGAAGAGCAGAATGCTAAAGGGCTTTTACCTGTTCTGCTTAATAGGATCAGTTCTGTGATTTCATATGCAGAAAAGCTAGTGCAAAGCAAAAGTCTTGAAACCAATTAATCAGAAGATTTAGAAGTTTCAAGAGCCATGTTCCCTTTAACTGAGACTCCTGAAGAAACTTTAAAATGAAGTTTAATCCAGCTATTGCCAGTATCTTGTACGGCTGTATTCAAATTCTCTGTTCAATTCAGGTGCTACAAGAGAGTAAGTTTACCTCAAAGGGGAGGATACTAAGTAGATTGTGGTCTGCATGCCCCAGTTTTAGCTAAGTTGAAAATAAAATTAAACATTGAGTTGTAAGTTATACCTAATTTGGTAGGCTGAGGAAAAAACTAATTTTGGTAGGGAAAAGTAAACTCAAGGGTTAGGAGAACTGAATTTCAAAAGGCTCTTCAAAAGTTTTGACTGAATTCATAGTCCTCAGCAGAAGCTGTTGAAACCTCAGTTGATAAGTTATACTTCCAAGTGTTGCTGACCTTATTTCCCTGCTGGCTGTTATGGGATAGGTAGTTTGTTCATCTGTGTATTGAATGATTTCTGCCTCTCTGGTTGCCTTATTCTTATGGATCTGTGTCACATAGCATGTTGATCATTCTGTTAATCTGCTGTGATTCATGGCTTCCTTGGTTGTGGAATGTCTATTCCTTACTTGTGTGTTCTCCAGAGCTTCCTTACTGCTCTGCAGCTGAGTCTTTATTGCATTTTCCTTTACTTGTTATTCACTTATTATGTTAATGGTCCCAGCTTTAACTGTGTACTTTCTCCTTCAAAGTTGGCAATTACTGTATTCTTCTGTTTTGATCCTGTTCTGCCCCCACTTCACCAATACAGTTCACACCCTGTCAGCTCAAAAAGGAAATGCCTCCTCTGTTAAGCACTGTGGATAGTAATTTATTTTCTTTTCCTTTTATCTTCCTTGTGCATAATAAAGCTGGTTCTGAGAGCTGTGGAAAAACATCAGATTTCTCTGAAGTTCTTACCCAGCCTCCACTCAAGTTTACTTTGCACCTCCTACTTTGCATGGTCGTCCTGGTCTCTTAAGATGAATGACAAGCCCAGTTTGCCTTATTTTTGTCCAATTAATAGATTCTCGTGCTTTCTTGCGCTAGTCTTTCATATAATCTTAGGGTATTTCATAGGTCTTGTCACTGCTTTTTATTTCCATTTCTGCCTTTCTGTACTGCTTGTTAAGCCTTCCATTTCAGGAAGATAAAAGGTGATGACTCACTGAAATTTCTGACTACTTACTCAGATTAAATCCACATAGGTCTCCAGTTCAGGCTCTTTCACCAGCTTTCTTGTCAAAGTATACATTTTGTGTTTTCCTCTTCTGGTTAGTTCTTCCTGTCTCAGTGCTTCTGGTAGCCCAGACTTCTTAGTTCATAAACCATTTTACTTTCATCATATGGAGGGGGAAATGAAATAAGTAGGTAGCTGACACTCTGCTTTGCACTCTGTGTGTTCTCTTCATGGAGGTGATCTCAAGTCTTTAGTTAATGTTGTGGCAGTTAAAATGGCTTACTAATTTATTCAGCCTGTTGATTTCTGTCTTCAGACATGCAATGGAAGGCCTGCTGATTCAGACTTCAAAATAACAAGCACATTGTTTCCTTCTCAAGTATCTTAATCATTTGGCTGAGCTACCAAACATTTATTGCTTGCAGGTGTAACTCAAAATCGTCTTTTGCCTTTGCCACAGTGCACACCTCTGAGGTGTGCCAACATACTACTACCGTTTCAGGTAGGCAGAAATTGATTCTTAGTCTATTAGACACTGAGGTTTTTTGTAACACTTTCTGGTACTTACTGGTAACTGGTACTTCTGTAACACTTTCTAGGCCTTGGAAACGCTTCCTCCTTATCTTTGTTGGCAGGTGTGTGTCTCAGGCATTCTGGTTTAATGCTTCCAGGCAGACTGTAGCCTCCAGAATTAATATTTGTTGCTTGCATGCACCATCCTAAAATTTTCCAAATTTGAAAACTAAAACTGGCAGTTTGAATTTGGAGTCATTCAGGACAACGTTTTCTTTCTGAGCAGCAGTAACAGCATTGTCAAGGCAACTCTCCCTAAGTTCTCTTGCAAACACTTCCATGACTGGCTTTGCTACTTACGCATAGAGCTGGAATCAATCTACTCATCCTCCCAGCCTTTCTAAGAATTTGCTATTAACAAGATACTTCCTAGAGTTTCCTGGTAATGCTTGGGAGAAGAATGTCATTCTGAGGAGGCTGCTAGTCATGAAATAATAGAATTCATGTCCTACCCTGTACTTCAGTATTGACCACTTTTCCTGTGTCTTTGGATTTCAGTGTTTTTGAGATACAGCTTCGTACTTCTGAATGGGAAATTCCTTCATAAATACTAAGTACTTTTCAAAATAAAGCGTGTATAAGAGTTTGAAACTTTATGGTTTTAAAACTCTCTAAACAGAGTGAGAGTTTATATGACTTCCAATGTAACAAGTTCTGGCACTGTGGTATTTGTGTAAGAGGCAATGTAATATTCGACACAAAATTAGAAATAAGCCTAACAGATACTGCACTGAAATTTCTCATGGCTGGGATAGCATTTTTAATAAAAGAAAATTTCAGGGTACTTTTGTAAGAGAAGTAGAATTTTGAGCAGAGCACTGTAGTTAGAGTTGGTACTAAATGTAGCATGTGTTGAGATGTCTGAACATGACATGCATTGCAGAGACTGGTATTAATGAAAATTCTGGCAGTCTTAATGAAGCGGCATATAATCTTGACAAGTTCTTATGCTTAATTTACAGAAGCATCTCTACAGTCTGTTCCTGGATATAACATCCAATTCTGTAAAATTCTGATACAGATTAGTTTTCTTCCAGTGCAGTGTTCAGACTGTCATCTTTTCTGAAAATATGGAAGAATTAGGTTCTGGAAATAACTGTAGCTATCACAGATAACTTAAAGGGCCTGTGATAAAAGAGTATGACTAACAAAGTAATTTGAACCACACATTGTCTCATAAAATTGAAGGGCATTCAGTAGAAGTATTAAACGTCAAATTTAAAATCGGTAGAGGCAGGGTTGTGGGGTGGGGTTTTGTTTGGTTTTGGTTTTTTTACAAAATTTTGTTTCAGCCAGTGATGTTGCTGGTATGCCTGTAAGGCTGTCCTAGATGAAAACTAATAATTCACTATGTGCCTGCCTATTTCCTGGACAAAATCAACCTGTGAACAATCAAGTAAACTTGCTTGTAGGTAGGGGGTATATATTTGTTCATATGATTTACATATCTTGAGATTTAACATCTAACATAATGTAACATGCCTTCAGAGACAAGAGACACAATATAGGGGGGAAAAAGGTTGAAAGTTTGGGGTTTTTGTTTGTTTGTTTGTTTCATTTTTTTTTGTATTTTTTGGGGGGGGGGGGGGATTTGGGGGAAGGCCTCTGTGCCCATCCTAATTTCCTTCAGAAAGCAGTACTTTTAATGCCATAAACCTGTCTTTTTCCAAAAAAGGGCATTATTTGAAAGTAGAAAAGTTATTCTGTGATGTCAGCTTCCTGTGCCTTGGCCAGTAATTTTTCAATAACATTACTATCCTGTTTCTATTTCAACAATCTGTGATGTGTACTTGTATAGATTTTTTTTTTTTTTTTAATGCATAGGGACTGGTAAATTAACTATATATTTATTTTATTGAGAAATGCTGATAAACTCATTTTTCCTCCTGCCCAGTATGATGAATTAGTTCCTGCATCCCTCACAACCAAATATGGAGGATTTTATATCAACACTGGTACACTGCAGTTCCGCCAGGCATCTGACTCAGAGGATGAAGACTTTGCAGAAGACAAAAAGCATAGGCCACCTAAAGTGAGTGATCTTACGAATGCTTTTTATACACAGCTTATGCTAGGTGGACACTGAGAAATATTTGATATGCATAGAATGGCTCAGATGAAGAGGTTGAAACCAGAATGCTGCACAGCACTGTTTTATTGGATTTTCTGGTTTGTGGCTCAGGTGCTAGCCTTCAGGAAATAACTCGGGATGTCCAGTCTTGTAAGAGTAACAATTAGGCAAGCTAAGAAGTGTCCATCCATCCTCAAGTGACAGATGATTCTGTAATTTTATTGGGATTTTGTTATGAGATGAGAAATTTTCCAGTACTGCTTTTATGACTTTGCACAACTCTTGCATGATTTGAAAGTTTTCCCAATATTCAAAATAACACTTAACATGTCTGTTAAAGTAAACCTGGTGTATAAGAACACCTATACTAAAAAGCACATATAAAGTTTTTCCCAAACAATGTGCTGCTCTGCGTACATTGACAAAGTTATAATCAATGTGAACATAATTGTTTGCATAGTACATTCACAAGTTCCATGCCATTCTAAGAGCTTCATGTTTTGTGATGTCCTTTACTGCTCTATAATTCCTTAACATAATTTTAAGGTTTTTATATTGGATCTAATTGGGATGGAGTTAACTTTTTTTTTTTCATAGCAGCCCTTACGGTGCTATGATTTGGATTTATGACTAAAATAGCATTGATGGCAACAGACAAAACTCTGATGTGTTGAATAATGTTTGCATAATGTGAAGGCTTTCTTTTTCCCCACTCTGCACCAGCAGGTAAACTGGGGATCAGCAAGAACTGAACTGGCCAAAAAGGTGTTCCATACTGTGTAACTTCATACTCAGCAATGAAGCTGTGGTAGCAGAAGAAGGTGGGGTGATTCAGTCTTCCAAGGCTATTTGGCCATTGCTTAGGAGTATCAGTCTGTGTGTGCCTTTCAGTATTTTTCTTGTTGAAAGCTCTCTGAATTCAGTAACTGTTTAAACATCAGTAATTAGTGAGATTTGTCAGCAACTGCACTGCTGCTAGGAATCCAGTGGTACTATTTGCTTTTACACACATTGAGGTATTTTTCCTGGCTCTGAATTGGAAAGTGTAAGGAAAACCAAATGTTTCTTGCTGTGGAAGTCCTTTAGGTGTAAGAATCATTGTCCTTTATTTGATCTCATTCTAGATAGCAAAGTTAAAAGAAAGTGAAGATCGTGGAATGAAGAAGCGCAAGCGGAAAGATGAAGTGACAGAAAAGGAGAAGAAGCCTCGGAAAATGAAACCTCCTAAATCGTTGGGGTAGGTTTCTTTCATTAGATAACCTTTGAATTGTATGTGAGGTTTGGTTTTAAGCTTGTGTACCATAGCAAGATTATCACAGCTGTTCAGAATATTTTTAAACTATAATTAATAGCAAGTAGATTTTGGGTTTGGAATTCATGTGGGGTTTTTTCATAATTCCTACAAACTGTTTTTTTTTTTATTCCCCCCCATATTTTGAACAGCCAGTAACAAAACAGGGGCAAAAAGCATTATGGAAAAGAGGTGTTAAGTTTGTGAATAGTATTATCCATCATTGTTCTACTCAAAGTCTTATATAGTACTAAGAATTACATCTTCTAATGAAAAATAATTTCCTCCATATCCCTCGGTTTCTAATCTGAAAATTTACAAACGTAGCTTCATCCTACATATTTCTTAGCAACTTTATGTGCTTTCCTGAGATCTGAGGCTAGCATGGAAAGATCAAGGCTGTGTTTTTAATTGGCTTCTAGAAAATTGTTGTTGAGTAAAAGTTATTTTGTTATGCATATTCAAGTTGGTATTGTAAATTTATTGATAGTTGTTCTTTATTTATCAAGGTGATGAATTGGCAAAAAGCGCTCTGTTTAAGTAGCGTATAGATGTTGAGCCTGAATGTCAAAATTCGTAGCAAAGAGAAATTTTTTTTAATGTACATGGTGTGCCTAGTCTCAAAGCAACCTGTCACCATTCACAAGCCTTGAGAGGCAAGTTTAAGTATTTTAGTAGGGTAGATCAGTTTAACAACTGTGCCAACTTCTCCATAATTAAATTGAGAAGTCAAAAGTAAATAACCTTTGCCTCAGTGTGTACATAACCTAACAAAACAAATCAGTTGGAGAGTATGAAATCACATGACCAGCAAAGTTTTATGGTAGTTGATAGAATAGTCTGAAGATGGAAGCACAAAGCATTTGCTTCATTACCCCACTCATTTTTTGATTGTACTAAACTCCCAGGCTTTTGTAAAAAGGCCTCAAAAGTCACATGCATTCTAATGAAAGATTTCTTTCCTCTGCAGAGTAATGGCCTTAAATTCACACAAGTCTGAAAAGAAGAAAAAGAAACTGTATAAAGACTCTCTCTCTCTGGCTGCCATGATCCGTAAATTTCAAAAGGAGAAGGAAGCCATGAGGAAGAAGGAATCTAGTCCAAAACCGCCAGTGACTGTTGCAGCCTCTACCCCTAGTAAAATTCCTTCTTCCTCTCTCAATGCAGGAAACGATATTTCTGACTTGAATCTTAGGATCAATGATCCTGTCCTCTCCATTTTTGGTAGCACAAATGAACGTGAACTCATGCAAGAAGCTGAAAGTGCCCTGGAGATGTTGGGAGACATTGACTTTGACAAGTTGCTTGATGGCACTTCTGATGGCAGCCCAGTATCTGAGCTGTCAGGAGAAAATGGAAATGTCACTCAGGCAACCTACACCTCTCAGGTCATGACACCCAAGCAGGTGCCTGCCCTCCCAGAAGGTCTGCCTATGCTACTTGAGAAGCGCATTGGAGACCTTCGAACAGTAAGTATGAATTCACTGGTAAAGGATTACATTCAAGAATCTGTATTATACTCAAATGAAACAGACACAGAGACAATGAAGGTCAATTGTTAAAGCAATGTTTGTTTCACGGTGGAGACAAGGTTTTCTAAAGCTTCTGTGTATAATAACTTTTATTGTTCGTTTGAGGTTTTTTCCATAATGGAAATATCGGTGTTACTTTAATTTGAATGTTGGTGAAATTGATAGATGCTTTCTTTCTTTGGAGGAAGAAATCTGAAATATGACAGCAGCTTACAAATGTCTTGGATTTTTGGCTTTGTAACATAACTGTTAACTTGCCAGTTTAAAATAACACAACAAACCCCACACCACAACCCAAAAAAACCCACCACAACCCTCCACCCAGCTACAAGAAGAACAAATTCCAAAACAACCACAAAACTGAGTATTTTCTTCTGGAAAGTTAGCACGCAGTCCAAACTTGTTTAAAATGTTAATGAAAAGTATTAAATCTACAACTTAAAAATATCTCAGTAGCTTATTGAAAGGGATCAGAGCTGTTAAGGTATGATGGGTTCCTTGTTTCAGTTGTGGATAAGTTGAGAATAAATTTGTTGTTTGATTATCCAGATTCTGATATTAAAATTTTTCCTTATTCATTACAAAGTGCAGCTTTTCCTTATTCAGCGCAAATTTTGAAAAGCAGCTCAAGTTACTACCTTTTCAGAAAAATATAATTTGAACAGTAGCAGAGCTTGCTTTGCTACAGATAACGATGAAACATAATGTTTCTCACCTGTATGTAAATGGCTTATAATGTTCTTAGTCATTTTTAAATGTACCAAGCTAACTACAGCCAAGACGTTAATATCAGTTAAAGTGAGAGAGATTGTTTTGCCTATCCTTGAATACTCAGATTAATTTTGCTATGAAGTAATAATAAGCTTTTAGCCAAACTGAAGAAGAACTGTAGTAGGCCAAAAGTCAGTGGCCTAACCCCAAATTCATGCTGCTTCACAGTATAACAAGCTCCACACAGCTGGAAGAAAGCCTTAATTCAGTGGATCTTGGAAAAACCTAACTTTTCCATTCTGTGCTTTTGATAATGTCTTCTGGAAGTTTGATGCTGGCAGAACAAGTTTATCCATACACTTGGGGTAAAACTAGACTGTTGACGTAAAGACTCCAACTTTCTCACCTTCTTCTGTAAACGCAAATCAACTGACACATCGTCAGTGGGGGGAAAACGTCTTCTAAAAGGCAGGAAAAAAGAAATGGTTCTTGTCAAATACTTCACATGCTCACAGCTTTAGTGCTCTTGAGTGCAAAGAAAGCTAAGAAGTTTATAGAGCTGTAAGAAGAAGGCTGTGTTGCAGGAATATGATGTTTCTAGACTAAGAACAGTAATAAAAAACCCACTGACTAAATACAACAAAAATTTCCTGACCTCCTTTTGTAGATGAATGCATTCTCGTTCCCTAAGTGGGCAATTCTGAGCTACCATGACAGAAGACAATATTGTACACCTGCAGGAAAATTAGTAAAATGGCTTTTTCTCTATTGTGAAGGTAACTATCAAGATAATCTGTGGGGAAAAGAAAAAAAACAAAATCCACAAAAACCAAGCAAACAACAAACCCCAACAAAACTAAACCCAAGCACAGTTCAGTGATAGTGATGCAGTTTTTGAATCTGGAAATTCAGCCAGAAACACTGTCCAGTGTGACAGTATAATGCTGAAACTGTCTGCATGGGACCAAAATGTCAAAACATATCTTTCCTCCACTTCATATAAACCAGAAGATGATGATAATCCTTGTATTAATTATGCTTAAAGATACTGCATTTAAGACTTTCAAACTTGTCTTTCTGGTATCCTATTACCTTCAAACACCTGTAGTAAAACAATCACTAGCAAACACCTTTCTAAATTTTTTTTTTAGCAGGACAAATGCTTTGATAGTACCATCCCTTCAGCAGCTGAATTTACACTAGAAAATAGTGAGCAGAACACAGTCATTATAGGAACTTAAACTCTGCTATCAGTGTTCATGACTGAACTGGTAAAGCATTCAGACAATGGACTACCTTATGTTTTTTGATAGAGTATCAGACTTCTGTTTTCCTGTGCAGTGTAGAGTTTACAATTCCAGTAAATATTTTTCTTCTCAACTTAAATGTGTCAGTTTACAGATAGCAAGAACAGGAAGTATTTCATAGTAACAGAGGAATTTTGTCAAGCTAACACTTGCATTTATTTATAGTTTTTACCTAATTTGTCGCAGTATTGGAGATTTTTGATTATTTGAATATTCAGCCTTGTAGCATATTGGCTGCCTCTAGTATTTGTCAGTCAGTACGATGATACCATACATGCTTACATTTCTGCATGCATATTCTTTCCTAGCTTGCTGTCTGGTCCCAGTGCCAAAATAGAAGATGACAATAAGCCTGTAAAAGTAGGGCTTTTTTTTATCTTGATTCCTATAAATCTGCAGAGTGGATGGGCACTAGAGAGAAGACCTTACTGATTTTTGTAGAGTGGTGCAGGGAACTGGATTTCTCTAATAAGGTGTTACTGTTTGTGAAAAGAAGAATCTAGGTGATAGGAATAAAGATACAGTAATTCCCATGTAAAATCCTTTTGAGATCAGTAAAACCTTCTAATAAAAGGAAGTATGTATAGGAATAAGACTGAGATTTTTTTCCTACCCCCAGACAAACTTAGGAAGAGACCAAAAATATTAGAGGTATATTTTAAAGATGCTGAGAATGCTGCACAGCACCAGAAAAGAGGGACGAGGTATTCCTCTACATACATAATCCCTTTGTAGAAACACCAGTGAAGGATTAAGGCATATCTAAGAAGGCTGGAAAGTTGTAACTGGCTGAGGCAAATAATGGAGGTAGGAAAGGAGCCTTTCACAGACTGAAAGTAGAAATGTGTTGGTGCTGTTGCCTGCTTGACTTGTCCTCTTTTTAAAGCAAACAGTGGTAGTGGAATGTAGCTGGTTGTGAGGTAATAAAACATGTCTACCAATTTCTTTCTTTGTAGCTATTGGAAAGATGAATGTGTTAACATCAGTGATCCACGCAAATTATAAATGTAATGATTATTTGCCCTAGAGCAGGATGGTTTTATTTGAGTATAGTAACAACAACCGTCACCTTTTTTCTAAACAGTTCAGTATAGTTTGGTTTTGGTTTTGTTTTTTTTTTCCAAAGTAATGCTGTTTTCTGGGAAATAAGAATATAATACAGCTGTAAAAGTAAAGATACAAAGGTTGTTGGGATTAACTGCTCTATGAACTTTTGGATATTCTTTATTGCTGTGTTACCAGGCCGCCAAGATGTTTGATGAAGAAGGCAGGAAGAAGTTTTTCACGCAAGACATGAATAATATTCTGCTGGAGTAAGTGCTTATCTGTACAACCTTCCCTTTTTGGAAAGGGGGTGAAAGGAAAAGTGCAGAAGAGGAAATATTATTGAGGTTGTTCCAACAAAGCCCTTAGAAGTCAATGAAGGTAGATCAGTCTAAGCTAGTTACTAGCTAAAGAGATTTATATATGAATATGATTCCTGTCATGACTGTCTGTCTTTATCCAGTGTAAAGCGTTTTGTAGTGCCCTGTGTCCTTCACTTCATGTGTTAAATTCAACAAAACTGCCATTATTTCTTCCTGTACCCCACTTTCATAACTCAAAATACCTTCAGCTTTCATGAAGGAAAATTCCAGCTCTTTTTACTCTGTAATGCTTCAATTAAGTAGAAAGTTCTATGTTCATATTCTAAGAAACAAAAATAATCTCTAGGAGATTGTAGTAGTCAAAATTGTATCAAGATTGATGTGCAGTGGTGGGAGTAAATGAAATTTGAATAATGTTCAATGTTGCTGGAAAAGTATGCATTTGAATGGTTTCTTGCCATTGATGAAGACATCCTCTTTTTGTAAAAAAAGTTTATCTGAAAATGTTCCAAGCTGATATTTTTGGTGCACATAGCTAGAATATATTATGCATAAAAGCTTCCTTAGGTTATTTTTTTTAGCTGTCATTTTCATCTTGGGGTGCCTCAGTGGTTGACTGTCTCTTGTTTGTTTGACAGTATTGAGCTACAGTTACAGGAGATAAATCCTGCCGTCCGCAATGGAGTGTACTCTCACCTTGAGGCTTTTGTGCCATGCAATAAGGACACACTAATAAAGCGTCTGAAAAAGTTACACCTCAATGTCCAGGTAAGGATAGGGAGATTAGCTCCAGCATGGATCAGTTATGTAATGGTGATGAGGACAGAACACAGGAGAGTAGTGCAGCAGCCACACTGTCTCCAGTAAAGCAAAAGATTTTGGATCAGTTGTTAAGATGAGCTTAAAAGTGCTTTTTTTTTTTTTTGTGTGTGTGTGTATGTATGTGTAATTGCTGTTGTCACTACTTTAAATACAAGTAGTTTTAAGTATTTCAGGCCCTTTATTTGAGAATGAAGTGCTTTCATCTTGAAAGCTAGGTACAAGGTACATATCAAAGTAGCAGAACTAGAAAGCTACAATAATCGTGGTTATGATAGGCTAAAAAAAATACCCGTAACTATTACATGCACTTTTGTGTCAAGAAAAAAGAAAGGATAATAGATGACCCAGCCTGTGCTGTTTGTGCAAAATAGCCTTTGTGGCTAGGTCTTACAAATACTTTGTGTGTCATTTGCAGTTACTTTTCTCTTAGAGTGTGTTTTCGTATTGAAAAAAAGTTATCTGTCATCTGAAGTATCCTGACCTGATTCTTCAGATGAAATCTAGGACTAAATCTTGTAGACAATCTGAGGATCATGAATGCAGAGTCTCAAACTTGCTAAGAAGACAAACAGATTCATGTGCTATTTTTAAGCAGTAAGACATAATAGCACATAGTTTTCTAGTTCTTCTCAGTAAGCAGTTATGATTAACACTGTGAAGTCAGGAGATGTAGGAAGAGAATTTAAAACGTGGGGAAGTATATACTATATTACTTTAATGCTTGAAGTTCTTAATTTGGAGGTAATTCTAAATACATATTTTTTACCTTTGAAGTACATGGATTACATATAATAATTAATATTCAGATAATCTGATACATGTATATTGTTCATTAGCTAGGATGTTTTTATACCACAGCATTTTTTTTGGAAACTTGTATTAATTGTGTGCTTATTTGCAAGTGTCATCTTGTTCTTCCCCTCAGGTTTTCTTGCTTAGTTTGGTTTTAATAACTGTCTAATGAGATCATGCCATAATGTTTTGGGATATTCATGATAATTTTCCTTGTGGCTAACTTTCATTGTTTCTAGTCTCAAGACTTGAATTTTTTCATACAATTTTTTTTTAAGTATATGCATTTCTATAATCCTGTTGCACCTAACAGGATTCAAGTGCCATGTAGGAAATGGCTGTTGCGGTCAGTAGTTAGTGCTGGGAATACTGCGTTAGGAGTGAGTGGGAAGTAATTTTTGTGAAACTATCCAAAGCACTTTTTACATTGCATCTAATAAGACTGATCTGGTGTTTTTCTTTTTACAGGATGACCGCTTGAGAGAACCACTGCAAAAGCTGAAACTGGCTGTCAGTAATGTCATGCCTGAACAGTTATGCAAGTATCAAGAGGACTGCCAGGCCCGCAATCAAGCCAAGAATGCCAAGTAAGTATTTTTGGAGTCTGTGCATGCCCGTTCTAGAGTCCAGCTGAAAGTCTGTCTCCACATTGTTCATTCCCTGAGCTCAGCAGAGTACTTGGCTTCAGTTTACAGGTGTCTGTAAATTTTGAACTGTACAAAAATACTTAGTTTTGGGTAGGTGATGTTATCACACCTGGCTCTAGAAAGAAATTCCATTAACTGAGGTCTTAAGAGAAAGAAATTGTAAACTGACAAGTATGCTGGAGATTCTCAAAATGCCAGATTAATGGAGGAGGATGGTGTGTTCAGGGCCTTGATATATTTTGCCCTTGTTCTTTATAATAGTTTCACTCGTCGTTCACTAATTTTTAGACTTGGAGAAGCGTTAATAAACTGATAAGCTTCCTGCCATTTCTCAATAGAGACACTGTGTAAAGTTTATAGCTAGTAGCCTTGATAGGATCCCTAAAATGTGTCCTTTTCACTTGTCTCTGAGGACCATGAAGAGGTGGGGAGATGAACTTTCAGGAGGGGTGTAATGAGAATCTGAAGACGAGTCTCTTTTTTTGTTGTTGTTGTTTTTTGTTTTTTTTCCTAGCACCTAAACCCACACTCCTTACTCAAGGAAACATTTTGTCTCTGTTGTATACCTATAAAGAAAATAATTGTTCTGTCTGCAGGTTACAAGCGGAAGATGAACGAGAGAAAAATGGATCAGAGGAAGATGATGATGAGAAACCTGGAAAGAGGGTTGTGGGACCCAGAAAGAAGTTTCATTGGGATGACACAGTGAGGTGAGACAAAATCACCTTTTCCACCAAGAATTATCACTGACTTCTTAAAGGGATCTCTGAGGGGATGTTATGCAATGCTTTTCAGAAATACACCTCTGAGAAATTTTTGGAGAGTGCTGGGGCTAAGCAGGCAAGCTAGAATGTTGCCCTCCTTTAACATGAAGGGCAATACCATCCTATGTCTGATGGGATTTTTCGCTGCTTTTTTATCTGTGTTACCCAAATTAATATTTTCCTGGTCCTAGGACTTTAAGCTTCTTTAAGCAAAGAATGCATGTAAGCAGAGTTACACCTGCTTCCCACCATTCTAGGAATAGGTCACAAAATGCTGTCAACCAATGAGCAGTAAAGATTTCTGCCACAACAGGGTAGATTTTCAAAGTTGGTGATGCTGTTTTGGCAAGCCTCTCAGTCTTTGGGCAAGCCAGCATCCAGAATGCATGAATCTTAACCCCTCCCATCCCCTCTGAAAACAAATTCTGTGTTATCTCTCAAGAGCAACACAGATTCTTATCTGAAATTATGAAGTCTCACTTTTCTTTTTCCTCAAATAGATTTTAACTGAAAACTGAGATTACTGTTATTTAAATAATCTAGGTAGGTTTCTAAGCGAGCAAATCCTTCTAAATCAGATATTTCCCATGCAAGATATAAGCTAATTTTAATAAAAATATATGTATTATTTAAAAGGGCTGACGGACTTCTCACAGTGAGTCTTTTTTAGTATGTTAAGATGACAGGGAAGCAAGCTTCACAGAATATATAAAACTAGTATAGCTTAGACTGACCTGGAGGGAGCCATACTTAACGAGAGATATTTAAATCTGCTCTTCATTGAAGAGGCTCTGAAAGGCCAGTGTTACTTTGTGCACTTTTTTTATATTTGAGGACAGTAAAAGACAACATCATTGTCAGGAAGAGTGTAAAGAGTGTAAAATGGATTTCACTTGCTTTTAGACATTCTCCATCTTAAACGAAATAGAGGTCACTGTGAGCAACATGAGATGTTTCAGCTATGAGGAAGCTAGAAAAAAAAAAGAAAGTAAAACCAAGTACAACATTATAGTAAAGATGGCAAGAAGCGAGCCATATGGTCTGCTGGAAATGGAGGAAAAGTGGTAGTGACAAATCATACCAGTTGTAGTAGCAAGCTTCCAAAAATTCCAATTGGAGCTGAGCTCTTCCTACAGATGGTGATGGGCAGCAGCTGTATAATGGTATCAGTCTTTCCATTTCTCAGCCTTTTTCTGTTGAGCTTTTGAAAGTATTGTTTCTTTCAGTACACCTATTGTGTCTTTTTGCAGGTCTCTGTTGTGTAATCTTGTCAAGATCAAGCTGGGATGCTATGAGCTAGAGCCAAATAGAAGTCAGTCTGCTGAAGATTACCTCAAAACCTTTATGGAAACAGAAGTGAAGCCACTTTGGCCTAAAGGCTGGATGCAAGCAAGGTAAGGTACCTGCTTTGTGTATCTATTAATCTTGGTACAAAATATTTCTTGGATCTTCTTTATTGTCATACATTTGACTGAATTACATCCTGTTAATTTTGGTTAAAACTTCAAAATATGTCAGTGGAACTGAAATAATTTAGAAGATAGAAAATTAACTTCTGAAGAACATTCAGGCTTGTGTGCAAGCCTGAGAGCTAAAAGCCCAGTGTTGTCTTTGGAGAACTGTCTGCTGTTGTCATCTGCTGGAGACTGAATTTGTGACAGTTTGTAACACAGTGTGTGATGCTTCATTTGAGAGAGAGCTATGAGGAGGGGGGGGTAACTGCTGAGGAAGTTCTTTCTGTGGTATAGAAAGTGATAGTAATATAGAAAGCAGCCATGCCTATATAACTTGCAGGCAGTCTGATAACACAGTGTAACATAGACTATAAGATTATAAACTGGAATTTCAACACCAGAGTTCACAAAACACTAAGGTTTGTACTCTTTATTTCCTGTATGCAACGGGGATGCTCTGTGATGCTGTGGTTAAAAATTCACTTGTTTCTTGACGAAGACTTATACTTGCGTCCTACTGACTTAGGTGGAAACAACCACACAAAGGAGGGAAAATGAGAGCAATAGTAATCATTGTGAAATACAAATTTGACAGTTTTCAAACACTTTGAAGTGGAAGAAGAGAAGCAAATATAGGTGTTCTTTCCTTCTGTACATCTGCTGCAAAAGACAATTTCCCAGCAAATATTTACTGTAAAAGCTTAATGATATATTATAAATGCTCCATTCCTGGCAGTGTTCAAGGCCAGGTTGGACGGAGTCTTGGGTTACATGGGTGGCGAGGCACCAGAACAGGCTGTCCAAAGAAGTGGTAAATGTTCCATCCCTGGCAGTGTTCAAGGCCAGGCTGGACAGAGTCTTGGGTGACATGGTCTAGTGTGAGGTGTCCCTGCCCATGGCAGGGAGTTGGAACTAGGTGATCTTAAGGTCCTTTCCAACCCTAACTATATGATACATTAATACTAATCAATGAGATTGCCTTGATTGTAGATTACCTGCCCCAGGGAGCATGAGCGACCAGGATCGCTGTGAACAGAGCAGGTCGAGGCAGTTCGCTCGGGTAGGCGAGCGGGATGGTGAGCACTCGTCGTATGAGCAGGGCCCGGTCCGGGAGCTCTGGTCTGGCTGCCTCGGCGGTCGCCAGCGTAGGCACCCAGACAGAGCCGATGAGAGGGGAGGCTGCAGTGCAGAGCTCGGGGTGTAGAGAGTGCCTGCACTGGTCTGGTGAGGGGAGGGTGCACAACGGGCAGGGCTGCACTCGGTGCTCCCTGGTGGAGGTCCTCCTGCAGCAGGTGGCTGAGCTGCGGGATGCTGTTAATAGGCTGCGAGGTGTCAGGGAAGCTGAGAGTAAGCAGGAATGCTTGTTCCTGGCCCAAACTGTGCAGGGGCCTCAAGCTTCACCTCTAGCTCACGAAGGAAAGAGGGAGGCCTTTAACCTGGGAAGCTGGGAATTAGTGACAGAAAAAAAAACAACAAAAAAAAAGGAGGAAAAGGACAACCAAAAGCGAGGGGCTTCTCCCTAAATCTGTTGTCCCCACGCAGAACCGCTTTGCTGTCCTGCAGGGGGCTAACGAGGGAACACACTAGAGCCAGAAACAGCTGGCTGATGCCCTGGTAAAGAAGATCTCTACTGGTGCTGCTAGGAAAAAGTGGCGGATCATAGTAGTAGGGGACTCTACACTGAAAGGGACAGAAGCACTTGTCTGCCGGCCAGACCCCGTCTCAAGGGAGGTGTGTTGCCTACCGGAGGCATGGATCAGGGATGTGGCAGAGAAGCTGCTGCTCTAGTGAGTCCCATGGGCTATTACCCACTCCTGGTGATACATGTGGGTGCTAGGGATATAGACAGCAGCCTGGGGAACATAAAGAAGGACTACAGAGCCCTGGGGGAGGTGGTTAGGGGCTCTGGAGCTCAGATAGTCCTTTCGTTAATTCTCCAGGATACAGGGGAGGACTTAAAAAAAGCTAGGAGGATTAGTCAGGTTAATATAATGGTTAAAAGGGTGGTGTCATAGTCAGGGGTTTGGGTTCCTTGAACACGGGACCCAAGTTTGTAGGCCAGGTCTACTGGGGGCTGGTGGAGCTGGTCTAAGAAGGGAAAGAGCAGTTTTGGTAGGAGGCTTGCCAGACTGGTCAAAGAGGCTTTAAACTAGATGTGTTGGGGGAGGGGGGCATCATTCCATCCCAACACACCCAGTCAGTTGCCAGCACCTGTAATAAATGCTCAGAGCAATGTAGAGATATCCCAGCCGTTCCAGCCAATGAGCCGGCTTCATTTGGAGCTCGGCTCAGATGCCTCTATACAAACACCCGTGGCATGGGGAGCAGACAAGAGGAATTAGAGATGTGTGCACGTCTGCGGGGGTATGATATAATAGGCATTGCAGAAACATGGTGGGGTGGCTCCTATGACTGGAGTGTTGGAATGGAAGGTTACAGGCTTTTTAGAAAAGACAGGCCTGGCAGGCAGGGAGGGGGAGTTGCCCTTTATGTTAGGGATAGGCTGGAGAGTATGGAACTCTGTCTGGGGACAGGTGAGCAGTCCACAGAGAGTTTGTGGGTCAGGGTTAAAGGGAGTATAGCTATGGGAGACATTACTGTGGGGATCTGTTACAGACCGCCTGATCAAGGAGAACCTGCGGACGAAACACTCCATAGACAGATAGGAAAAGCGTCACGCTCACAGGCCCTTGTTCTCATGGGTGACTTCAACCACCCTGACATCTGTTGGAAGGACGGTACGGCCCAGCACAAGGAATCCAGGAGGTTCCTCGATTGTGTGGAAGACAACTTCCTTCTGCAAGTAATAGAGGAGCCGACAAGGAGAGGTGCCATGCTTGACCTCGTGCTCACCAACAGGGAAGGACTTGTTGGAAATGTGATGCTCCAGGGCAGCCTTGGATGCAGCGATCACGAGACGTTTGAATTTGAGATCCTCAGGACAGTGAGAAGAGCATGCAGCAAGCTCACTGCCCTGGACTTAAAAAGAGCAGACTTTGGCCTCTTCAGGAACCTGCTTAGTAAGGTTCCATGGGATACAGCCCTAGAGGGCAGGGGGACCCAAGACTCTTGGTTGATATTCAAGGATCACCTGCTACAAGCTCAGGAGTGTTGCATCCCAACTAGAAGGAAGTGCAGCAGGAGGGGCAGGAGACCTCCTTGGATGGATAAGGAGCTCCTGAGGAAAATTCAAATGAAAAAAGAGGCTTATAAAAGGGGGAAGCAAGGACAGGTGGCATGGGAAGAGTACAGGGATGTTGTCTGGGAAGCTAGGGACCAGGTTAGGAAAGCTAAGGCCCAGTTAGAATTAAACTTAGCTAGAGGTATTAAAGATAACAGGAAGGGATTCTACAGGTACATAGCAAATAAAAAACAGACTAGGGAGAACGTGGGCCCCTCAGGAAGTTCTCGGGAGAACTGACTACACAGAATTTGGAGAAGGCTGAGGTTCTGAATGACTTCTTTGCTTCGGTCTTCACTGGCAAAGGCTCTGACCACACCACCCAAGTCTTGGAAGGCAGACTCAGGCACTGTGAGAATGAAGACCTTGGGCCCACTGTAGGAGAGGATCTGGTTTGAGACCATCTTGAAAATCTGAACGTGCACAAGTCCATGGGTCCTGATGAGATCCATCCACGGGTCCTGAAGGAGCTGGCAAATGAACTTGCGAAGCCGCTGGCCATCATATTTGAAAATCATGGCAGTCAGGTGAAGTTCCCAACGACTGGAAAAAGGGAAATATAAGCCCCATTTTCAGGAAGGGGAAAATGGATGACCCTGGGAGTTACAGACCAGTCAGTCTCACCTCTGTGCCTGGCAAAATCTGGGAGCAGATTCTCCTGGAAGGCATGCTAAGGCACATGAAAATCAACAAGGTGCTTGGTGACAGCCAGCATGGCTTCACTAAGGGGAAATCCTGCCTGACCAATTTGGTGGCCTTCTATGATGGGGCTACAGAACTGATGGACAGGGGTAGAGCAGTTGACGTCATCTACCTGGACTTGTGCAAAGTGTTTGACACTGTCCCACACAACATCCTTGTCTCTAAATTGGAGAGACATCAATTTGATGGATGGACCACTCGGTGGATAAAGAACTGGCTGGATGGCTGCACACAAAGAGTTGTGGTCGATGGCTCAGTGTCCGGCTGGAGACCAGTAACGAGTGGCATCCCTCAGGGATCGGTGTTGGGACCGGTCTTGTTTAACATCTTCGTCGCTGACATGGACAGTGGGATTGAGTGTGCCCTCAGCAAGTTTGCTGATGACACCAAGCTGTGTGGTTCGGTTGATACTTTGGAGGGAAGGAATGCCATCCAGAGGGACCTTGACACTCTTGTGAGGTGGGCTGATGCCAACCTTATGAAGTTTAACCATGCCAAGTGCAAGGTCTTACACCTGGGTCGGAGCAATCCCAGGCACAGCTACAGGTTGGGCAGAGAAGAGATTCAGAGCAGCCCTGCCGAGAAGGACTTGGGGGTGTTGGTTGATGAGAAAATGAACATGAGCTGGCAGCGTGCGCTCACAGCCCGGAAATCCAACCATATCCTGGGCTGCATCAAAAGGAGCGTGACCAGCCGGTCGAAGGAGGTGATCCTGCCCCTTTACTCTGCTCTCGTGAGATGTCACCTAGAGTATTGTGTGCGGTTCTGGTGTCCTCAACATAAAAAGGACATGGAACTGTTGGAACAAGTCCAGAGGAGGGCCACAAGGATGATCAGGGGACTGGAGCATCTCCTCTATGAAGACAGGCTGATTAAGTTGGGGCTGTTCAGCCTGGAGAAGAGAAGGCTGTGTGGAGACCTCATAGCAGCCTTCCAGTATCTGAAGGGGGCCTATAGGGATGCTGGGGAGGGACTCTTCATTAGGGACTGTAGTGACAGGACAAGGGGTAACGGGTTAAAACTTAAACAGGGGAAGTTTAGATTGGATATAAGGAGGAAATTCTTTCCTGTTAGGGTGGTGGGCACTGGAATGGGTTGCCCAGGGAGGTTGTGAATGCTCCCGTCCGTGGCAGTGTTCACGACCAGGTTGGGCAAGGCCTTGGGTGCTACGGTTTAGTGTGAGGTGTCCCTGCCCATGGCAGGGGGGTTGGAACTAGATGATCTTAAGGTCCTTTCCAACCCTAACTATTCTGTGATTCTAAGCTGTAAAGATAACTGTACTGATTGTTTCCTAGAATAGTCAGTGTAGAAAATTAGGTTGTAATAAGCTGTTTGTGAAACAGTAATGAAAGGAACAAATGAACCTTTACACTTCTTGGCATACAGCTGACTTATTTCTGTTCAAGGATCTAGCTTTGTATCATAAGTATGCTGATGAGTGAGAGGTTATCTCATATGAAGATTCTATTGAAGTAAACAAGATGTAGAATCCCAGTTTAGTTTAAAAACACTAAACAGAGATCACTGATATTGGCACAACAGTCAAGTGATAATGTGAGGTCATCCAAGAATACACAAGGAAAGCATGTTAAAAGTTTGCATTTGAAAGCGATATAACATATGGTTCTTTCCCTTCCATATGGTAAGCATGCTGAAAACTTTCTGTAAGCTTTGAAACTACCTATAAAAGGGATTTCAACACAAAAGGACAAAAATCAAACAAACCTAAAACCCCCCAAATGACTTCTCCCCTTACACAAAACAAAAAACCCCAAGCAAACAAAAAAACCTGTACCCACCAACAAACCAAATAAACACCAGAAGCTGCCTCAGCATAACTTTCTGTAGACCAGCAAGACTTCTTTTACCAGCTAGGCAGTTTTGGTGCCATAGAAATTGTCCTGTATTTATAGGGAGGCACTTCACTGAGTTCTCTTTAGGAAGTGGTATATTGTAATTTGTAGAGAAACAGTTACATATGGAAAGAGAAAAAGCAAGAATTTCAGGGAGTCTGATAGTGGTAGCTCCTAATACAGTACATTTATTCATATGCTGGCTGGATGCTCAGTGCTGTTAATAAGTTAGAGTAAGGATTATCATGCTGAAGGATTTACTTTTATGCATGGTCTCAGAAGGAGCTATGTAAGCTGGAAAAATGAAGGCTTTTAATGTTAAAAATGGGCTGCTGACTGCATTTCACAAGAAAGACGTCCTAATTGGAGTAGGTCTGTGGTACCAGAACTTTGTAGGATCAGCCTACAGGAAAAGTTTTTGCTCTGTCAAAGTTAACTGCATTTACTGTTCGTCATAGGTCAGTATAGAAGCATGAGAATATGTATCAACCATAATTTAAAACTTCATTTGTCCATGGGTATCACAACTACCTTTGTCATATGAATTTTCAATGTATATAACTTCCATACTCAGCCCCAGATTATTTTATTAATATCCATGGACTTAGAGAAATATTTTTGTCTTAAAGGATCCCAAAGCCTTTCAAATAATGTAACCCATTTTTTTATGTAACTGGGTTGCATATTAATTTCATGTGTGTTAGAAAAAAGCCTGCAACGTAAATATGTGTATGTTCAAAAACAAAGTGTAAGGAACAGGAAGTCTGTTTCCTTTAATTCCAAGAGTTTAATAATCATTGGAGGTCATCATGCATGTAGGCTTGGAGAACATTTATTTTGTGCAGGTCAGGCAGCATGCTTGACTTGAAATCATGATCAGAGAGAAACAATCTCATACTGATCTCTCCTCAGTTTTTAAATCTGAATATATTTATGCAGTGGTGGGGTTATCTTCCAAGTGTGTTCTTCCTTTGGAGCATACACTGCACTGTCCTTTCTTTGTACTGTAGCTTCTGTTCCTGTAGTAGTACACTTTTGTCTTGAACCCATAAGGATGATACTACAAGTTACTGGGGCCTGGATTAATTTTGGATTTTCATTCCGAAATTAAAAAGTTTAAGGAACAGACAAAGCACCAGGAAGGAGGTGTGAGAGAAAAATTCTGGAGAAATTTCTGGGTAGGACAGAAAGTGGCACATGGAACTTGTAGTAAAAGGAACATCTCATTACCTTATGTTCTTCATGGGCATTCATTAGTTCCTGATGGGGAGCAATGTAATACAGATTTGGAGTTTAGTATCGTAAAGAAAATGGGACAAAGTGGAATCTGAGAATTAAGGCACTGAAATGTAGCAAGAGGATGTCAATGTTTTCTTGCCAGATTATGAGATTTTGCATACATGGATTTTCCGTTAACTATTGCAGCTCTAAGGATGTGTTACTGGTGAAAAGCTCTTGTTTAGATAGCGGTTTATGATGTGATCACTGTTAGTGTGATAGTAGTGGTGTAGGATGATCTTGTCTGTTCTTGTTTGCCTACCCTGGAAACAGGGAAGAGGGCCAAGTTTTCATTAGTTGTCTACGTATAGCTGCATTTGGGTAGTAAAGCTGCAAGATAGGTACAGGTCGAGAATCATTTTCACTTCTCACTTGTCAGCTTATGGGTTGATAACAAGGAAATAAAAGCATGTGAACTGTTGAGATTTGTCATACCAACTCTTGCCATTCATTGGCTCTGTAGTAAAATGTCTGTTTAAGTCCAGTGTAGCGCAAGTCACAGAAATGGTACGCAATGGCCTGTGTAAAATATTGAAGAAAATCAAAAGCTGGCATGGCTACTGTATTCTGACTTTTTTTCCTCTGTTTTAAAAAACAAAGATGAAAAAAACAGACACAAAAATAGCACCAAAGCACAACAGACTAACCTCAAAACTCAAACTGTGATCAGTGTGTGACTACATAGTGTGAAGAGTTTATCATAATCCTTAATTTAATATTTGAAATGTCTCATTGGTATTCAAAATTCTATTACATTGACTTGTGCTTGGCCATTCACTGAAGTGTTTTGAATGTAAACTTGAATTTAGGGGTTTGGTGTTTTTTTTTTTTGTTGTTGTTGTTTTTCATTGTTGTTTGTTTTTTGTTTTGTTTTGGGTTTTTTTGGCATTCTTCTATTTATGGGTACCTGGAGCTACATCATGTTAGCAGTACAGACAAGCTACCTACTGTCTGCTTTGGGGACAGATGATCAAAGTGTTCTTCTGAAAATTCAAGGATATTTGCATATTTGGTGGTCATATGCTGATTGTCCCTGTAGAATCACCTTATGTTTCTTTACTTGTCACTCTTTTAGGATGCTTTTTAAAGAAAGCCGAAGTGTTCACAATCACCTCACTTCTGCTCCGTGAGTATAACATTTATAACTGCTATCTTTAGGTTCTTTGTAGTGTCTTTAGCCATCTTCTTGCTACATTTTTTTTTTTTTTTGGACGGAGGAGAAAACGGAGAGATTTTGGGATTTGTTTGAAGAAACTTATGATGTTAATGATAAGTAATGTTCTTGTGGCATGATATTTTAATTCATTTATGAAGTGGCTAGAGAAATCAAGAGGATATTCATTCTTGGATTAATGCCTTTAACTCAGAGTATTTCAAAGTGCTGTATGCTGTCTGAATTTTGCTGTACAGCATATTAAATTGAACTTAGAGGCTGCAGTACTTCCTCCTCTTTTCTTCATAAATATCTCTGTAACAACATAAGTCTGTGTATCTTAGTGGAATTTTACCTCTGTTTTCAATGACACTGTGTACCTCTGGGGACCTGTCCGCATTCAGCCAGAATTCAGATAAACAGTTATGACTTTGAATAGCACACAAATTGCAATCTCTGTGAGAAATGATTGATACAGGATATTTTTATACATAACAAAACTGAGTCACGGTCCACCTACAGTAAGGTTGTCTTTTAACCAGGCATATTCCTAGTTGTGTGGGAAAGGAGAGAAAATGACCTATAAAATGTAAATCCTTTTGAAGAAATAGAAATGTGTGAAATGCCTAACTGAAAAATTGAAGCTGATGACTAATAATCCTTAATGCTGTCCTTGACTGCATAACTGCAGTTGGTGCTAAGATGTTCGCTTACACTGCAGAAGACCCTGGAAGCTTGTTAAATGACTTCTTGCAACAAACAGAAGTTAGATACAACAGTGGAACAGTTTTTAAGCAACAGAACCCTTCTTTTCTTTGGGGGGGGGGGGGGGGGGGGGGGGGGAGAAAGCAACTGATTTTATGTGGTTTGAAATATAAATGAGAACACAAAGTATACTCCTCAGTGACAAAGCCATCAATGTAAAGTGAAATTACTTGATTTTTTTTTTTTTTTTTGGAATGTCTCTAAATTGGACAAGTAAAAAATGGCTCTCTTGATACATATCAGATGATATCAGCAATTTAGTGAATTTTGCATCTAAATGACTAGAGATACATGACCCAAAAATGGATTAAAGGTGTGCTTGTTCTCTCCCCCTCTGGATTTTAACTCATTTTCTGGATGTTTTATTATTAAAGCTGGATTACAGTAGTCATCTGTCATATCGGGATGGGGTAACAGTTAAAACCAAAGTGACTTGCCTTTCTGTTGTCTTCTGATGTACATGTGTATCCTCTGTTTTAGGGCAAAGAAGAAGGTGATTCTGGCCCCTAAACCCAAAGTGAAGGTAAATATGCCTGTTTAGATATCTGAATTTTATATGACCACTTGATACAAGCTGTTTCCTGCCTCTGATCCAGAAAGATTCTGGCAGAAGGATTCCATCAGGAAATGCTGTAAGAGGTTATTGACTTGGTGCTGTAGTACTACTAGTTCAAAAGACTTCTGTATAGCTTTGTAACTTTAGGCTATATTAGCTCTTTGAAAATGACTATTAAGAAGTACTAGTTCCAATAAAATTGCACTTTTTTTTTTTAGTGTTTTTTGTGTTCTTTGTCAGCTGTATTAGATTTGGTAAGACTGGAAAAATATGTGGTTGGGAGAACAGCGCAAGTTGATAGAGGTTCTTGTTAGACATGACTAGGTGTTGTCTTAGTTCAGTAGCTATTTTACCTAGCAGTCAGGTTAGCTACCCTGTTCTTCACAGATTATTCTTAACTGTGTGGGGCGCTCTTAGTTACAACAGTAACTAAGTGGAGCAACAGGTTTTAAACACAAATAGGTTTAAAAACACAAATATTGAATTAGCATGGAGGACTAAAAGTCCTAGATATCATAGGTAATACAAAAGTTTCAATAATAGACCTTCTTCAGTTCATCTGAATATACAGAATAACAGAATTTCACTAAAGAAGACTTTAGATCTACTCCAGAAAGGCTATTCAAACCTGTGTAATCTCTTCATTCTCAGGACTCCAGTCCAAAGAAAGAACAGAAAACCTGTATGTCTTCAGTCAGTTCAAGTTGCGCTACTGTACTGAGTTCCAGCACGCCTGTCTGCACCCCAGCCAGCTCTAGCTGCACACCAGCTCCAGAGACCATCTGTTTGGATGACTCACTGGATGAAGACCTCTCGTTCCACCCACCTTCACTGGACTCTATATCTGATGCTCTGGCAGTTATCAATAATGGTGCCAAGGGATCACCTCTTGGATCCACCATAGACACACCAACACCCAGACCTCGTCCTGGACTGAGGGAAGAGAAACTAGCAAGCATTATGAGTAAGTTGCCCCTGGCAACTTCAAAGAAAGTAGAGCCCACTCAGACATCCCATTCATCAAGTCTTATTGCTGGTCACACAGGGCCAGTACCAAAGAAACCCCAGGACCTAATTCACACTGGTATTTCTTCAGGCCTTATTGCTGGATCTTCAATTCAAAATCCTAAGGTTTCCTTAGAGCCTTTGCCAGCCAAACTACTTCAGCAAGGACTACAGAGGTCAAGCCAGATCCAAGCCGCTTCTTCCTCTTCACAGACTCATGTTTCTTCCTCTAAGGCCCAAGCAGCTATTTCCGCCTCTCAGAGAACCAAGGATGCTAATATCTTGGTATCATCTTCTGAGGCTCAAGGTGGTTCTTCCTCAACATCGCAAGTGACAAAGGTGCACCAGCATTCAGCTGTACAGCAGAAATATGTATCTCCTTTACAAGCAACTATTAGTAAATCACAGACCAATCCAGTGGTGAAATTGAGTAGTAATCCCAAACTGTCTTGTTCATCACCAGTCATCAAGGCTCAAGATAAGTCCGTAGTATATCGCCTGCCTTTGTCTAATCCCTCGTCTGGAAGTGGCTCTCAAGTGTCTCACCCACTGGTTTCTCGGACAACATCCAGCACCTCTACCTCTAGTAACTATTTAGCCAAGGCTATGGTGTCACAAGTTTCTTCCCAGGGTTTCAAGCCTCCCTTCTCCATGGCTGCCTCTCCTAAACCTGCTGCCTCTCCCAAGCCCACTGCATCTAAACCCTCTGTCACACCCAAGCCCAGTGCATCACCTAAATTTTCATCCAAGTCCACCTCATCCCCCAGGCCTGCAACAACACCCAGTTCTTCCAGCTCAAGTGCACTAGTTTCTCAGAGTAGTCACTCCAGCAGCAACCCCCTTCATAAACAGTCCAGTGGTGTAAATATCAGCAGGCAGTCCCCCACAGTGAATTTGCTGCCCTCTAATCGCACCTCAGGCCTTCAGCCTGCAAAGAACCCTCAGGCTTCTTCAAAATTGCCCAACTCTTCTCCTTCTGGAACTGTTGGTAAAAATAATCTGGGTGGAGTTGGAATGAATGTACCTGCCAGCAGAGGCAGTAACCTTAACTCAAGTGGAGCTAGTAGGACTAGTCTGTCTGGGGGAGCAGGAAGTGGAACACAGGGTGCTACTAAACAATTGTCAACTCCACACAGACCATCTTCTGCCTCAGGGTCTCCAGTTGTAGCAGCCAGTGTGCAGGTACGCATCTAACAAGTTTACATTTAAACCTTGCATTAATATTTATCACACTTATTTTGTAAACATTCTTTCTTACAGTATCTTGATTTGCAAATGTGTCATAAATTTAATGTTTATACTTTACTAAGCATAAATGTTAATACTGATGAAACTGATTCTCACTAGTGGATAGGTATTTCCAGCTAATGTGCAATTCAGGGATAGTGTGGAATGAATCCTCACTGTAAAATGTTGGTTGGTCTATTCTGCAAAACAGAATATACTTTCGTTTGTTTGTGTTAAGAACACTAGAAAAGGTAAGCCTTCTGTGGCCGTATTTCCAGGGGATGTGGTATTTTCTTGCATTATTGGGTTTGTGTATTCTTGCATATTTGCCTATTTGTAATGGTGCTGGTCACATGAAAAGGTGTATTGGTACATTTTTTCCCAAGCTCCATGAATAATTTGCGAAACTAGAGTTCAGTTGCTTGTGGTTTGAGTATAAAGCAAGACATATTTAAAGTTAACACATGCAGGGCTTTTATTTAGTATTTGTGATTAAACATGTATTTTATATCTTAGGGTCTAGTCAAACTGCATGAGACATCTCTAATATATAAATATCCTAGAAATTGTCTGAGAGCTATGCAGAACTTTAGCACTGGAGATAAAACAGTCGTACAAAACAAATACTTTGAAAATACTGTTGTCCTAAACCCCATGCAAACCTATGATTTACTCAGAAGACAACTTGCTTTCCCAAATTGTGTGGTGTTCTTACTGGGAACTATTTAATTACTGAGCTGATTTGAGGTTTTGCTCTCTCTTTATTACTCTCTCTATTCTGAGGTCTTCACTACTGAAGTAAACTTAGGCAATATCACTGTAAATCAGGGTCTTGGTGTACAGCAAATCGAAAGCTTTGTGTTTTTCTGAACAGTGGACATAGCTGTTGTATGGAAGTGATGTATGCTCAGCTTTTAGCAATTGCTTGTAATTTTTTAGCTTGTTAGCAAATTTTTCTTAATGTAGCTGAATTACAGGAGGAAGTTTTTTGTAGGTTTTTTTTTTTTATAGGACGTTTTTATGGTCTTTCATCCTACTGTACTGTAAGTCTGTTACAGTAAGCAAGAAATGTCTGGCAGGCTCTGACAGAGCCCTCTCATTATTTTGGGTACTTTGAATAAAAAAAAAACAACAACCCAACTAACCCACATGCTGTGCAAGGGCCACTGTGGTATCATTTAGAGTCTAGAGAAAAGGTGAGCCAGATACAGTCCGGTTTGGGTAGTCTGGAAGGTGCCTAGTGGAGACAGAAAAAGCAACAGTGAATGGACTGGGAATGGAGTTGTTTCTTCCTGGTGCAATCAACAGAATCCAGTGGATACCATTTCTATGATGTAGAAGAAAATGTGAAATGGGTGTGGTAGTGCTTAAAGATGAAGGATGAGGGAAATAAATAGTATTGTGTTGGATGGTGAGATGAATTCTGGCAAATCTTCCTGTGGTTAAAGGCAAGTGATTTTTTTTTTTTTTTTTTTTTACTTTTGATCTGGGAAATTAAATGTATTTTGGCAAACGCTGATGTTGAGCACTTGGGGGGGGGGGGGGGGGGGGGGTGTGTGGTGGAGAATCCAGTAACATGCATACTGTAATACAGCAAAATAAGATGTGTTGATATATAGGAGGGGGAAATCAGCTAGAGGTACTGAGCAGCACATAGTATCACTAAAATTAATGACTTTCTATGTGGGTGGTTTTGACACTTCAGAAGTTACTTTGGTAATCTCAGAATGGTTCAGAAGAATGGTGCAAGGCAGATAAACCATGGAATAGGGTTGTTGCTGCTGTGCAGACTGAAGCGTAGTCAGTGGAGTATGTTCAAGAGAAGATTAGAATCAAATTACCTCCCAGTCCAAGTACAATGAAGGGGAAGAGATTGGTGATAAGAGGGCTTTATATTTATTTAGCCTTAAAGATCCAATGGCTGCTGAACTTAATTCCAGAGTAGTTTTTAGGTGCAATGTATTAAGATACAAAGTACTGCAAACTGCAGTGGACCTCTTAAAACTCTGCATAAGGCTGAAAGTGAATCTCCTTTCCATAAAGCTTTAGGGATTTAATTCCTATCTGAGATACTGTTAATCAGTCAGATGATGAGAATGGTACTTGAGTCGCTCATTAGAATGTTGTGTTGACATCTTCAGCGTCTTCCTACATTGAAGATCAGACTAGATGATTTCATGTGATAATAAAGATGTTCCTAACTGGAAGAATTTCCAAGAAGAGTTTCCCTCCTTTCCCCTTTTGATTGACACATATATTTACCAGAATATAAGCATACGCGTGCTGCAGCTCCACAGAAATTTTACTCTGGAATACTCTGTTAAGTTACATCTTAAGAATACAAAGCCAAAGTAATCTAAAATTCAGTGATTATAGTGTGATTTCCTTAAAAAACTTCTACCTACCACTAGTACTCCTTAGCAGAATCTGGCTTAAAGATCTTAGTGACTCAGATTTATATGACCAGGATGAACCCTTTTATGAAGTGCTAATACAGGTGAAATAAATAGAAACATCTGAGCTGTGTCTCTCTTAGGGCATTCTCCATAGCCCTTTCCATCACTGAACTTCTCTCCCCTTTTTGATGGAGTAAGCTATGTCTTGGCTGAGCATACTACAAAGCTGCTTTCTGTTTTCAGGCATTTTACCAAACCACAATTACGAGAGGATTACTGTTGTATGGCTTTTTATTTTGCTGCACAGTAAAGATCACATAGACAGTGAATGGTTGCATTTTTTTGTACATAGGCTTATTGTGCAATTAGTACTTTTGAAGGCAAAAGAGAATAATCAGGGATGAAAACCTTCAACATACTTTAATACCCTACTTGTGGGATGGAGTAAGTCTTAGAAGCTGTCACTCCTAAGATGACCAATACAAACACTTGCTACCAAGATCACATCTGTAGTTGTTTACACTTAGAGGATGTTTTCTCATAAGCAGCAACTTTTTTTAGCTGCTTTCATCTGAACACCTTAAGACCAAAACCTGGTAATAGAAACCCTATTGCTTCTAGGAGTTATAATCACTTTGCTGCTTCTGTAAGTTGATATTACAGAAGTCACAGAGACTTCCATTTCATTTCAATGTGAATCATTAAAATAATTCTAAGTTTTGGGTTTAGTTAGGGCTTACATGTATAAATACACAAGTTTGAAGTCTTATTCAGTATCAGTCTTTTTAACTCAGATATCTGAAATATCTGAGCTTGAGTCTGATTTAGAATGCTTTCTGTACTGTTTTGTAGTAGATGATGAGACAATATTAATATATAATTAATCATATATCAGCCTATAAAATTACTATTGCATAGTGAAAAACAAACAAGAATAAGTTGATCTAATGTTAGAGGAATTAATGCAATCTGGGAGTTGTTGTAGCTAAAATATTCTGGCTAATCTCCACATTTTCATTTATAAACTACAGTGAATTTAACTTCACTGGGGCCTGTGTAGAGTGCAGAGATTATTTTCCTTTGCCTTTTGCTTTGACATGTGTATACACATGTATACCTACATATGTGTGTATTTTGGTAACCTGACTTCTCTTTAAGTGTGGGGTTCTTATATATTTGAATCTTAATTTTCAAAAATCATTGCTTCTACGCAGCCACTTTAGAAATAGTTAGTGTTCTGTTGAGACCCAGATTTGGAGAGGGGAGAGTAATACTGTGCTTCTAAAGAACTTCAGATCTACATCTGACGATTTCATATTATTAATCTATAGAAGATGCTGCATTAGATTCTGATTGTAGACCCAGTGCATAATTAGAAAGGAGATAGAGGAAATGACCTGAGAAAAACATGAGAGATGAACCATACCGTCATGTCTGAATTTGAGACATAATTGTACTATTTTAATAGATGAACAGTGGGAAGACCTCCTGGGTAGATAAGTGGATATTTATTAATAGTTTAATACTCTTCTTAATAGTGCCACAGTTAACAGAAGATCGTTGATTATTATCTCCTTAAAGAATGCAACTCAAAGCTTTAAAATCTTGAAGTACTCCTTTTCTTTGTACAGTCAACAGCAGGAGCATCATTACTGGCTAACGCCTCACCTCTGACTCTTATGGCATCACCCCTGTCTGTAACCAGTCAGAACGTGACATCTGCACCATTAACTCCTTTTGGGATGCTGGGCGGCCTTGTACCTGTGACCGTGCCCTTCCAGTTTCCCTTGGAGCTGCTTGGCTTTGGGACGGACACAGCTGGAGCGACAACCACCTCGGGATCTACCTCAGCGGCTTTCCACCACAGCCTAACTCAGAGTGAGTGGAATCAGTTACCACACTGTGCTATAAGGAAAGATGGATCCTGAAAATGGAATTTAAGAAGAGAAGCAAAAAAGTTCTGGGAGACTCCCATTTGGTTTATGAAAATCCCTACAGGAGAGTAAATGTGATTTCTTCACTGGTAAAACTTTATTATCCAAATTAAGATAATTATGAACCATCTTTGATACAAGCTTCATTGCTACATTTACAGTATATGTTTAGTTTTGAACATGCTCTTTTGGGTGAACTTTTAATCCTCTATCTTTAGAAAAGAATAGAGCTTAAACATCTCCAAATGCCACAACACAAATAAGACTTAATATGGTGAGTCCTTAAAATATCCTTAGCTTAGTAATCTTGGATATCAAACAGTTCTCTTAAGAGGAAGTATCAACCCAGACGGCACTTAATAATTTTTTTTTTTCCCTACTGCTTGAAAAGAAATTCTTTGGGGTTTTAAGCTGTATTAGTTCTTGGCCTTTCTGCTGAAGGAAATGAATGCAGAGTTGCATCCCAATAGCAAGGCATGGTTCTTTCTCTGACTTTTGATTAACTATATCTGAATAGGTCTGTTTCTGTTGACTTCCTCCAGCCATCGGAATGTTATCAGGTACTTATTCTTTGTTGTTGAGATACATCTTCAGAAATCAGTGCAAGTTAGCATGCTACTATAGCTATTATAAACCCTAAAAATAAATATACTATACCCTAAAAATAAAAACTTCCTATTTCATGAAGGCTACCTCTTGTTTTTAAGGTTTATCTTTGTTGCTCTCCTTTTTCCCCCAGACTTACTGAAGGGTTTACAGCCAGGTGCTCAGCACGCAGCAACACTGTCTCACTCACCTCTGCCTGCTCACTTGCAGCAAGCTTACACAGGTAAAGACACTGTGTTTTTCTTATTACTTATTTTTAACTTAGAAGTTAGATTTCTGACCTAGACTGATGGTACACCAGAACTGAAATCGGTTTAAAAGAGACACAGCAGAGGGATAAGCTTTAGTAGCAGCTGACAGTACACATTCTATCACAGCAGTATTTAAGGAACCTGAACTTTCTTTTTTCTTCTTTCTTGTCTTCAATGTCAGGAGCAAAAAAAAAGCTCAAAACCATCAATTATCATAGCACTTCTAGAAACCAAAGTGTATAAATTCAGTTGGGGGGGGGGGGGGGGGGGGAAGGAATACTACTTACTGGACCCTAACATGATTATTTACAGGCTGCGGAAAGTCTGTATTGGTGAGATTATTTTTTTCCACTTGGTTATAATTTCTCCATTGGAGGAGAAACTGACCTTCCAGATGGAAGCTTCTTCATGCTTCTTATAAGAGTGTATACCTTGTGTACAGTGTAATGATTCCCTAATGGAATATTTGCCTTCCCTGATAATTTTATCCTTGATAAGAGTTGCATATTTTGGTAGAGAAGCTTGAAGTAGAGTATCTTTTTTTCTGTTTGTAAGGCTTGATACTGAAAACTATCAAAAAGCTTTAGAAAGTGCAGTTTATTTAGACTCTTTTCTTTGCCATCTGTAGGTGTTTTGTTTTGGTGGGTTTGTTGGGTTTTGGCTTTTTTTTCCAGAAGGAACAGGAAGGGTGGGAGTTCTTCATCTTGTTCTCAGCACCAAAAAACTGAGCAGTGTTGCTCTAAGAGGCTGTGGAAACCAGCTGGCTTTATTGGGTACAATCATAATTTTGTTGTCACAGTAAGTGCCATGGGTTGAATACTAAAATACCAGAACTGCTTTATTAAAATGTAAAGGCTTCCAAAGAAAGGCTTGATTTATTTTTTTTTATTTTTTTAAATTTTGGTATCCCAAGTTGCAACTTAATCTTTAGAAAGATGCTATCTTTTCATATGAAGCCTGATATCTCAGGTTTCAACAGTGCTATTTCTAATAAATGAACTATAGAGAAGATGCAGTCTTCCACCCTGTAATGTACATTTTGGTAATGCTAAAGCTGAACGTGCTAAATTCCTGTCTCTTTTGCTGTAAGTTATAAAAATAAAAGGTCACTCATGCTTTTTTTCTTCCCTTTTCCTATCTCTAAACTACAGATGGAGGCCAAAGTAAAGGGGACACTAAGTTACAGCGAAAAAACCAGTGACTTCTGGACAAGCAAGGGAGCTGAAGCAGTTCTGGTTGGCTGACAGAATCTGCCCAGTTGGGAAAGTGCTTATTGTCACAGGGCTGCTGTTTCTGTCGATGTTTACATATTTTGATCCCAAGCACTGTGGTGAGAGGAAGAAGAAAAAAGAAACCAATACTTGATCAAAGAGAGAAGGAAAAGGAGGTCATGCAGACTGGTCATAGTCTGATCTTGCCTAAAGAAACAAGCTTTTTTACCTGTTCTGATTGGCTTTTAAAAGAAATTGATCGTCAAACCCACAGCAGCACAAACGTGTTTTGTTTTGGTCTTTCTTTCTGGGTGATGTCCAATGAAGAGTTGAAAGCGTTGAGAGGAGCTGGAATTGGTTTCTCCATCCATTGTGTAAGGTGGAATCATCCCCTTCATTAGTGCCCAATGTACAATGTGTAGGTCCTGAGTGTACTATACGGTTGTGGACCAAAAGTTATCTAGAATAGAGGTGGTGCTGGGACACTTTGCATTATAATAAAACCCTTACACAAATGCGATTTCCCATACAGGCATGTTTTCCAGCATTACAAGGCTGTTTTGGCTTTAGGGAGCCTACAGATGGGTGCAGTCTAATTAGAGAATTGTCTTCAAAAACAGATCTCTTGGCATATCAAGATGTGGGAAAATTTCTTGCTCCTTATTTGATTGGTTTTGTTTAAATATGAATATTTAAGGGAGGAAAGGGTTGGAAATTTTTCCATTTACATGAAAAGGAAGCCTACATTTTATTGGTCAGACTAGCATTTCTAGCGCACATCATTTTTTTTCAAAGACACACAGATTTTTCAGTCCTTCCATTTGTTAAGCTTTGTTTTCCTTTGCCTTGTGCTTATCTGCTACTGAAATTAAGTAATGTTCTACTCATTTATTTTTTTATAAAACAACCAGTTCTTTACTTATTCTAGATCTTCCTCATCTTTCATCTAATTCCTCCCAAAAGCCATGCATTATACTGATTTGGTAGATAAAGAAAGCTGTTTGTGACCTGTTCCAGAGCCAGGTTAATACTGCTTCAGGCATTAGCCAAAGAGGAGTCGTTCAAAAGCGACCAGAGGTGCCTTCTCTTCTGGGGGCTGAATGGGTTGTCTCCAGCATGTCCAGCCCCTGCTGGCCTGGGGAGTTCCTGACCTGAATTCTTTCTTGCATGGTAGCACAAGACTGCAAAGCTGGCTTTTTTGTTTGGGTTTCTTATTTTTTTTAACAGCAATGCATTGACTGGTTTATTTGTAAGGTTAGGAGGTATCCAGCATATGTTGCACTTTCGACACTAGGACAGAACTTCACTGTTGAGTCCCTTGCGCTGTCAGGTGAAAGGCGAGAATAGCAGAAAGTGAAATAAGTCATAGGGGAAAGGAGCAAATAAAGTTGTATGATGCCCTTCTCCTTGAACTCCGAAACATTCCCTTGATCAGAGATGCTGAAATTCTAGTAACTAGTCTTTCCAGTAGTTCAATTTGAGAATGAACCAGTGACTAGTCGTTATCTCACACCTTCCAGAGAGACTCTGACCCTTGGATAACAAATCTTCAATGTTTTTTTCTAGATTAACTTATAGCTTTCAGGTTTCTTTTACATGTGATTTATTTTTCTTAGACCAGACAACAATTCCTTTTCTATTTAGAGCTCATTTTAATTTTATATAAATATATATACATGAATTTAAAATAATATATATTGTGTATTTAGTATAAAATGTTGGGTTGAGCTCAGCAATAAATGTTTTTGCACAACACTTCTGTGAAAGACAGATTGAATTAAAATAAGATGCATTAGTTCATTGATTTCACTCCACAGCATCTGCCAATTAAATGCTTTTTAGCTAGTGCTAATGTTTTGTATGTGACATGTTAATTAGATAAGCTTGCATCTCCATCATCAAGGTTAATTTTGAGTTGAAACATACAGCTATGTAGACCCTGATATTCTTAATACTGTGCAAATTCTGTCAGAGTATCATATATTCAGAAAGCAAGCTTTATCTGATTTTCCTCCTCCACCACCACCACCTTTTGTCCAGGAAGAGTTGAAGGAAGATAACTTTCAGGTTTTGAGACCTAACAGTTCTGGCAAAATGCTGATTTTCAGAACTGTGTCAAACTGCATACTTCTTAACAATGTATGTAGCTGAGGGAGTTGCAGCAATGAGCATCAGACAGCAATATATTTAAAGACCCTGTCCTAAGAGAGTTCTACCTCTTCTATGTTTTCTTCATGAAGGCATCTCATTCAAATTGCTGTCTTTTGTCTTCATATTTTAAGAAATTTTAGACCGGGAGACTTGGAGCCCTTTATACAGCACAGATTTCCTTTCAGCATCCCTCCCTTCCTGGAAGTATGCCTCATCTTCAGTTAGGGAATTTCCTCTCTAAATTTTAAGAAGAGTAAGAGTAGTCCTGTCTGTGCAGCCTACTGAGCTTCTCAGTCTTGGGGAACAAGTAAACTAATGCTTACCATGGAAGTAAGCAGTAGGATGATGAGACTAAAGATGACCACATGTTATTTGTGAAGCTAGTTCAAACAGCCCCCCAGGGGGTGTGTTCAGTCATTACGCTCCTGAGCTGCTTTGGAATCGGCAACATAGCTCTGAAAGGGTCTACATCCCCTGTTCGCTGTTTTCCCTGGTTAGACCTAGCAAGGCCAAGTTAAAGGAAATAACAGAGTGGCTCCTAGAGACCTTTGTGGGTAGCATAAACAGGGTGGGGAAGTGAAAGATCTCTGCAACGTCCAAATGCAAAATTGGGTTAATGTTTCACTGTTTTCTGCACAGCAGCTCTTCTAAAGACATTTTCCCCAAAGTTTTTACTACTTTTTAAGGGCCTTTGTTAATAAATAAACTGTAGTTGTACATACTAAATAACCCTCAGTATTCACAAGCAATAAGAAAGCCACGTAGAGCTGTCTTTTCCAGGCAGCAAGGCTGAACTTGGTTTGGGGACTGTATATGAGCTAACACACGAAGCTCACTGAAAGCTCCAAACAAATGCAAGCAATAATTTCAAACACAGGTTTTAGATGTTAAAACCGTCTGGGTAATACTCTCTGCTACATGATCCAAAGTCCCAAAAGTCATAGTAGCTATTTTAAATCCTTTCAAGACACTTGCAGAGAAAGAAGGCAGGCTAGATGAAAAACAAGCTGCAAAGCTTCCTGGTATCTTGGACTGTAACTGCAATGTTCTCCCACTCCAAGATGCAAATAGCCTAAATCATTTTGTCTGGCCTTCTCTGTTGATACGAGAAACATGACTAATATTGATCAGTTAAGTCACAAGTGTGGATGCTGTGGGTTTCACATCTGTTTTCTGCTAATCAGAAGTAACTTCTAATTACCTGGGTTCTGCTTCTTGTTTGAATCCGATCAAAGTTGTCTTGATGCACAGATTTGGGGGTTGGACAGGTGCCAAGAGCCTGTTTCCTTCCTGCAGTCCCATCACCTGACCCTTCCTCCACACTCCTTCTCCACTTGGTGCAAGACCCCTGAGGACATGAAAACAGAGAAATCCTGCAACTCTCCCAAGCTGTCATCAGTTGTGTGAACCATTAACCCTCTGGGAGTCATCTTGGACTCCAACTAACTTTATCACATTTGCTGCTACATTCGTAAAATGAACTTTTGGGTGTATTTATTAGCAAATTTTAATCTAGTTTACAGGTTTTTGTTTTGATTAGTTTTTGCCCACAGATGGATTAGAAGTGTTGGGGTGTTTGGGTTGGTTTTGGTTTGGGGTTTGGTTTTGGTTTTTGTTGGGTTTTTTGTTTTTTTTTTGGAGTGACTTGGTGAAGGCGCAGTGGTCCCTCTTCTGCTTGTGTTTTGGATATGTTTGAAGATGGCGTTGCAGGGAAAATCCATAGCCAAGCTGTGGAAGGCTTCCTCCCACACTTTCATCTTTTGCTCAATCAGGGAGGGGGGATCATTAAAGGGACACTTGTTTTTTGTTTGGGCTTGTAATTTTTTATTTTTTTACTATAAAATGAACCGGAAGGTGAAAGCAGTAGGTAAATGAGTTATTAATTAACACTTTATGCAATTTTAATTTTATAGACATTAAAAAGGTTGGTAGATTTTGATTGGTCCTAGCTCTGGTGTAATGGCTGTTACCCTCCATGACTTACTTGATTCAGGCCTTTGTCCTTTGTTTAAGTGCCTTTTTTTTTATTTTTTTTATTTTTTAATTTTATTTCCCTACCCTCTTTAAACTGTTCTCAGAGATCCTGAAGTGCTGGAGGGCATTTTGGAGGAAAATCTTAAGCTTGCCAAAATGGCTTTATGCTGTTAAACTATTTTTCCCTTTTGTAAAGAAAACAAAAAAAGTGTGTAATGTGTGTCACTTCATAGCTGCTGTACCATGGCGTTGGTTCTTTGTGCTTGTGCATTTTTTCTCTCTCACGCTCACACATATGCACACACACACACATATACAGCAATATTCCTGAGAAACCTCTTTATCTTTCTGCATCCTGCTGGCTTTATTAGACACTTGAAAGGTGAATGTTTGTGCAAAGATGGCAGTACAATAAAAGAGTGTGTGTTGAGTGCATATATGTGCATGAGAGAAAAGTGGCTAATGGGAATGAAACTTCTTGCATTGTTTTCTGAAGGTTTTAAATTTGGATCTTAATTAGGTGGCAAGTAAAATATTATGGGCCCTGTCTGGCAATGTTATTAAATACAATTGCTGAGGCGGCGATGTGTGGCTAGTAAGCCCAAGGAGGGGGGAAAGAAAGAAGGTTAAAATAGCAGCTTGCAACAAGTTTGAGTTGAGATGAATCGCAAGGAATCTTATGTGTTGCATCTGTTTGACATGAGTTACTGCAAGGATTCACACATTTACCAAAGTTGTTGCTTTCTACTGTGCATCGTATGTAAGAAGGAATTTGATAAAACCTGTAAGAGTCCAGCTGCTAATTGAAGTTAGACCTGGCTATGCTGCTCACGCTGCCTAAAACATTCACCATGAAGTATGTTTCATGTTGTACTTTCTGTTTGTTGAGATTTCATCAATGGTTTGTTCTTTTAATATAATGAACAGTTAAGTTCCTGTGTTGTTAGTTGCAGGTGAACCCTTGTAATAGTGTCTGTGCTTGTTTCCTTGTTCTCTGACAGAATTAGCAAATCTGCAATAGATCATCTAGTGATTTATTAACAATTCTGTGCCAATAATCTATCTTAATTTATGATTATTATAAATGTGTACCTGAAATTATCAGTTCACTTGTTGACCAAGTGCTAAAATTAAGGTAACATATGTACACATCACTAGACTGAGCTAGTTCTGTGATGTGTTTTCCTGGTAAGATCTGATTTTGAGTTGCAATATGAAAAGGAAGCATTTGCTTTCCAGAATGGGAATGGAACAAAGAGTCCTTTGTAAGTGGAGAATCTACCTAGAGAGCAGAAAATTAGATACTGACTATCCTGTGGCAGAGAGTAGCCTATCTGCTGTTTCAGTCCTTAGCTTGTCTTCACGTGTTTGAGTGAGCCTGTTTATGTAAACTAGGCCATAGGCAGATTACTTCTATCAATCTAATGGTACCAGTCAAAGATAGGACTGTTGCTGGTAGGTCAGCTAGTTGCAGTGATAGTGCTTAATGTGCCTCAGTGCATCAGTGGAGTTTGCCACATCCACCGGTGGCAGTAAACTGAGCTAACATGGCTCTTGTGTTGCTGTTTAATTTGCTTTGGGCACGTGTGCTCTTTATCCTAGGCTGATCTGTGAGAAGGGGAATCTACAGCTGGTGATGCTTGACTGTTACAGTCCTTTTTAACAAACGCAGCTGCTGTGAAAAATCTGTGTCTGTCTACTGCTTAAGAAATCACTGCCAAAATAAGCAGCCAGAAGTACGCTTTACTGGGCCACTGGAAAGATAACTGTTGCATAGGGGAATGCTTTGTTTGTGGAAACTTCTGGTGTGGCTTCATCATCCTTTTTCTATGACCCGGTGATCCCTTGCTGCTGTAATAGCCTTTTGGGGCCATAGAAAGCCCTGCTGCTGCTATGAGTTATGCTGAGAGATCAGCATGGCCTGCAACTGGCCCAAAACTGGGGAAGTACAGATTCCCTACAGCTGTTTTTGCACACTCCTCACACATAAAACTCTGCTGATCTTGTCAGTAGTCAAGAATATAGGTCTGTATTTTGTAGCCATTTTGACAGCTATAATTCTACAGAGCAACTCTAGAAAAAACAAACCTATGTTTTGTATCTAAAAGAGGATTTCAGTCTCTTCCCTTGCTGTCATCTCCTGCTTAGGTAATAACCATTAACCAGTAAGTTTTTCCTTTATGGTGAAGTAACCCAAAGCAAGTGGTGTACATGTTGACTCCTGTCATGCACAATACTGAGGGGTTTTGGTTTGGTCGTGTTTTTTTTCTTTTTGCCCAGCAGTGTGTGCAGATGTATTTTATCAATAGATAGTTACATTTATTACTGTCTAGTACTAAGAGAAGAACAGATAGAGAATCAACCAAAACCAGTCAAGAGATACCATCATCACAGGCCAAAATGAGTAGCTGCTGAGGCAGACAGAGCTTGAGACTTACCAGATTTCACCAGAGAAGTGGGGGAGGAAACTTTCTTGTGTTCTCAGCTTTTTCCAGATAAGGCCTTAGTTTGATTAGTAGTCACTAATATCAACTATGCAGATAAGTATTTATGTGTTTCAGTGTTACATGCATTCCTTCCCCCAGCTACCCCTCTTAACACATGTTGAAGTTCTACCCAAAGAAAATTGAGTATTTTTTTTAATGTCTATACTGCAGAACTTTTTTTGCTAACATGAAGAAAGTAAGTTGTATTTTCAAAAAGAAACCCTTTCACTGGTGCAACACCTAGTGTCATGTGTCATGAAGTTGCTTTAAGAGGGAAGCTAAAATCACCTCTTGTGACAGGTTTTTATTCTGAGAGTTTTTTAGGATATTCAGCTCTCAAAATTGGTGTAAGAAGCTACAGCACTGTTAAACGTACAGATTGGATTTGGGGAGAAACTAATGAGACATCCCAGGTTTCCTTCCAGTATCAGAAGTGAATTAAATTAATTTCTCACTTAAATGAAGTTGCTTCTAAATAAGGGGAGTTACTGGCTACACAGTAGCTGGATCCTTGAAGAAAAGTTAAATCGTGATCCCCTGGTATTTCTCACTGATCTTTTAGTCTTGTATGTAGTTACAAATAACAGTTTAGCTCAGAGGTGAGAACTGTAGTGTGTGTTTTATTGCCGGTGATCCCATCATGTAGCAATTAGTTCCATGTTCTTGCATAGTTCTCAAGATCCATACTGGAAATAGATGGAGAAATTTTATTTTTGGACTACTGTTAAAAAAAAAAAAAAAAATTCAAAATTACTACTTTTTGCCCTGAAAAGTCTACTGAGCAGCATTATATTTTAGCAGTTAAACTAGTACCCTTGTTACGTGATTTGTCTCTTGTAGTCTTCTTTTACTGAGAGTTAGAAGCATTTCATGAGTAATCCTTAAAATGTTGGCGTTCTCTAGCTTGAAGTCAGGTGCTTATAATAAAAGGGCATCTGTGATGATAACTTCTGATGATACAAAAGCACTATGTTCAGAATATTTCATTGGGGAAAAAAAAAAAGACCAACCAGGTGTGGGTGCAAGTCCCTCCAGTTCTGCCTGATAGAGGCCCTGTGAAGAACAGTGCGTCCAAATACCTGCCTACACAACTAATGGTAGTGGGGATCATCTCCTCGACAGAGGTTTGGCCTCAGTATCCTTTGTTTGGTGTCATTTTAGTGTGTGTGTATATATGTATATGTTCTAGCAAGTTTGGTCACTGCTAGCTTAACTACCTGACTTGCTGTGGTCCCCAATACAATGAAAGGCTGGGAAACAGATGGACAAAGTGTTGTCCTGTCTTTCACTGGGGAGCGTAGCTGGCCAAGTGTTCTGTCCTAAACTAATGTTAAAATCACAGCTAGAATTCTTTGCATTCCTCAGCTTCAAGCAAAGGAATGCACAGTTACTACGAGATGGCAAACCTGTTTGAGTTGGTGATTCCTGTGATGCTTTATTCAGTCCAGCATAGATTTGTACAAGGTCATCTTCCTCCTCTTAGTGTTCACATATTTTGGATCATGGGGCTTAAAGAATCCGAACAGCCGTGTGCTGCTTACCTGATGAGCTCTCCAGGGCAACTCTCCTGTGAAATGCTCCCCTCTTGTGACAACAAGCCTGAACAACCAAATGCAGCTACATTTGGGTTGAAATCCACTTCATTTGGATTTTTAGGGAGGTGTGTTCCAGTAACTTCACAGGATGCTGTGTTTAAAATGTGTGATTTCTTTCCTCTCTCCTCATAAAACTGGACCTGGACGCAAGTTTTGAGTTGTTGGGTTGTTTGTTGTTTGGTTTTGGTTTGGTTTGGTTTTTGTTTTTTTTGGTTTTTTTTTTTGTAATAATCTCAGGACCTGAAAGATTGTAGCATTTAGTGTGTCTTAAAAATGATGTACTGTACCAGCCATGGATTTTGTAAATACACCTGTCTCCCTTTTTTGTATTTTGATTTTTAGAAGTATGTGTAAGGCTCTTTGCCAGAGGAACTGGTGCCTGCTTAATTTCCATCCTGAACTGAAGCAGGAAAAGGAAGAAGCTGCTGCCACAGAAAGCCCGCATCAGTTCCAAATATGTATATTGTTCTGGTCAGTTTAATGGCTGTTAAGTCTTTTCGTTACTTGGGAAGATGGTTTGTTTCCCTGCACGTTCCCAGTCATGGCTAGTGGAACCCTATCAGAGAGACTAATTTTAACTCTCTTCTGTGTGACTACATGTTTTCACTCCTTCCAGATCTCAGGTCCGCTATCCCTGAGAAGTCTGGTGTTTTTGGAAGTCAGGACTATAGGACCTCTGCAAAAATAGCTGGAGAGCATTTCTCATTTTAGCAGTGCTTTGGTCCAGACAGAGAAATAGGGTTTCTATATCTGCGATGCCACCTCCACCTGTTCTAGAAGGGACTTGCCCGTGTATTTTGTGCTTTCCTGAAGGGAGTGCAAAGGTTTATTAGTATTTTTATTTTTCGGCAGCAGACTTAGCTCTGGGATCCAACCTTGCCGGCAGACGCCTGTTCTGCAGGAAGAGCCTTACCCAATTCGGCGTTGCTGTGCCCTGTCCCTGACTGCGACAGGCTTTTTTCATGAGTGTACTTTTTATTTTCCTTTTTTAAATGTCATGTGTCTGTGCTGTATTAAATAAAGAGGAATGTACATATTAGCCCTGTCTCTGTGATTTATCCTAACAGAAGTGACGTAAGAAGGTTTCACTTGGACGGTTGTCCTTGGGGGTAGGTGCCAGCTTTATTCAGCCTGGGCAGCCACAAAGGCAAGGGCCATGCTGCGACGAGGCAGCAGCGGCTGAAAGCTACCAGACGGGCAGTAAGAAAAGGATCGCTCCCCTTGGTGCCGGGAGCCCCCGCGGCCCAGCCCACCGCAGCGGCTCAAGGAACCACGCGTAACCCCGCCCCGTGCCCCCAGCGGGCCACACGGCTTCCGGCCCGAGCGCCGCGCACGGGAAGGCGCCGCCCAGTCAGAAGCGTGCCACCCTTTCCATAAAAGGCAAGAGGGGCGGGGATAGAGGAGAAGTGCCTGCAGAGAAGAGAGTTTTTCGCGGCAGCCCCAGTGGCCTAATGGATAAGGCATTGGCCTCCTAAGCCAGGGATTGTGGGTTCGAGTCCCATCTGGGGTGGACTGTTTTTTTCTGTGCCCAGGGGACAGCAGCGCCCCGCGGCAGCGCTGGAGCGTTACAGCCGCGTTCACTGTCTAGAGCGTTGGCCCGGGATTGCCGATGGTCTGCGTCTTCTGGGATCACCGAGCGCCCCCCCTTGGGCTCTATCGAGCTGTACCGAGAGACCTCAGGCACACGTGAGCTGCGCGGGAGGGAGGAGGCCAGGTCCAACTCACCCCCCCGCAGCGGGACGGGCCCCTCCGCTGGTCCCACTGACCCCGTTCGGGACCGGCAAGCGGCCCGAAGGCGCCGCCCCCAAACCAACGGCCCGGGGCGAGAGAGAAGAAACGAGCGCAAGGGCCTCGGCGCGGCCTCTCCTCGATACTCGACCTTCGGCCCTTGACCTCCGCGGAGCACGGAGGGCTGGAGGAGGCGATCGCCCGACTCGGCGCTCCACAGCCCACCCTGGCCGAAGGCGCGAGCGTGGAATCGGCCGCTTTCCTTATTGGCCGCCGCAGGGAGGCGGCGGCGCTCGATTGGCCGTCGGGGGGAGAGGTGCGCAAGATGGCGGGGCTGGGCTCGCCGCTGCGGACTTTGCGCGGGCTCCTGCGCGAGCTCCGCCACGCCAGCGGCAGGGCGGGCCGCCCCTATCGCGACACGCCCGCCTATCAGCATATCGTCGCGGCCTTCCGCGCCAACCGGGTACTCGCGGGGTGCGGCTCCCCTCACTCACCCACCCGCTCCTGCCTCTCTCTCCTGGGGGGATGAGGCGGGGCGGAATTGGCCCCGCTTGTGGCGTCGGGGCGGGGTGTGAAGTCCCCGGGGCTTGATGGGTGCTCTCTGCAGGTGACCAGCGAGAAGCTGTGCCGGGCCCAGCAGGAGCTGCACTTCCAGGCTGCCACCTACCTCTGTCTGCTCCGCAGCGTCCGGGAGCACGAGGCCCTCCACCGGGAGTACCACGGCCGGGGCGAGCGCTCGCCTGAGGAGGTCGCCGGCCTGGTGGGCTTCAGGTTGCCTCAGCAGCCGGGAGGGAAAGGCTGAGGTGACTCTGCTGACTTACCTGTTTATTCTCGAATAAAGGTCCTATCGTCATCGAAACTGGCTGGGGTTTTCTGGCTCGTGCTTTCTGTCAGTTCTGGGTTGCAGGTGTGGGGTGATGTGAGAGGCAGCTGTCAGAGAATGAGAGAAGGACTGTTTGTAGTGAGAAAAGGTAACAGCCTTTGCTGCTAAACTGCTTAAGGAGGTGCAAGGGTTGTTGGTTCCCCCCTCAAAACCTGTAGGTAAGAGAACTGGCGTATTTACTGTAGATCTGCCAGCCACATTCTGTACATGGGGAATTTTCTACTCTCCCAAGACTGAAGGTACCTTCTTGGGAACATCACTGGATCCTGGTGAATGCAGCAGCAGCACAAACCTCTTTTTTCATCTTGAAGATTATTTTTTCCATGGTGGTGAGCTAGTGGCAACAATTCAAAAAGCCAAATACTACTTCATGTGTTAGGGGTTTCCCAGTGTCTCTGAGCGGTTGGCTCTGAGACTGTAGGCTTCCTATGCTGTTCTCACACACTGAATCTCACTAAAGTGAGCTGATGACTGCCAATGACACTAGATACACCAAACTGCCATTTTCTTGTCTTGCAATCCGGAACAGCAAGTTTCTTTTAAAAACAAATACTGGCTTGCATTGTTGCTGCTTTCCTCTAAGAAAAGGGTTGGATTATATGCAAAATACGTAGAAGCACAGAATGGTTTTGGTTGGAAGGGACCTTAAAGATCATTTAGTTCCAACCCCCTGCCATGGGCAGGAGCACCTTCCACTAGACCAGGTTGCTCAAAGCCCCATCCAGCCTGGCCTTGAACACTGCCACGGATGAGGCAGCCATAGCTTCTCTGAGCAGCCTCTGCCAGTGTCTCACCAGTAAGGAACCTCTTCCTAATGTCTAGTGTAGAACTCCCTCTGCCAGTTTAAAGCAATTCCCCCTTGTCCTGTCCCTACCTACCCTTGTAAGAAGTCCCTCCCCAGATTTCTTGTAGGCCATTTTAGGTACTGGAAGCTGCTGTAAGGTCTCCCTGGAGCCTTCAGTTCTCTGAGCAGAACAACCACAACTCTCAGCCTCAGACCATTTCTGTAGCCATCATCTGGACTCACCTGAGCAGGCCCACGTCTTTATTATGTTGGGCAACTTATAATGCCTAAAAATGTGAGGCTGCTTTATTGTGGGGCAGGAGCTATAAGCAAGTGCTTGTTTTGTTGTTTTTTATTATCAAGGAAAACAAGCTATTCTGGCAGAAAAGCACTGCAAATAGGATGACTTCATCTAAATCTATGTATTTTCCTTACTCTGTATTTAGAACTCAGAGACAGTTTAATACCAAAGTATTAGCTATTAGTATTAGGAACAACAGATACTTAAAACTGGGGAGATTCAGGGTACTTAAATAAAGTACAGAGTTGTGAACTTTAAGGTTCTGTAGACCAGGTTTGCAGTTCTTGCCATGTCTCACTGGTTAAAACTGACGGGTGTCCTTTTGACAAGTGTTGATATCCTAGGTGGGAAAGTACCAACTGATTTGCAGTGACAGATGAAAATCAGGGGTCACTATACCCTGAGAATGGCTGCAAAGTATTTGTTGTTCCCAGTTATTTAATGCCGCTGTTTCATTCTGCAGTTTACTTTCCAGGTGGACTGAAGGTTTGCTGCATCCAAAGGCTGTGGTGTACTGTTCTGGAAGTAAAATAAATTGGCTCATTGAAACCAGCTCTGGAAGAAAAGCTGAAATTTGGCCAGAAACAGATGATCTTTAAGGAGTACCTAAAGCTAAGGTTGTACAGCGTGATTACAAATAATAGATAAATTTTTTCAATTTTCTTCAAACATGCTAAGGTGCTAAATAATGAAAATTTTCACTAGTATTGGTATCTCTTCCAGTTACATCCCCTTCAATCCAGAGTAATGTAATGACTAACAGAAGTAAATTTACATGTTAAAGGAAAACCCAGAGCCGGGCCATGCTCTGAAGAGCCGAGGAGCACTGGGTAGGAAACCTTTTCCTGAACGTGTTACAGAAGATTCCTGTCTGAGCATTTCATCTTCTCTGCAAGCCCTCGTGAAAACCAGATTAAGTGTGGCGTGAGTTTTCATGGCTTTATATGTTGTTTTCTCAAATATATCGTCAAAGTTGAGGGCGACTCTAGTCGCGGCCGTGGACAACTGATCCTTGTGACGGTCATTGAGAGCTTGTGGGCGCTAGATGGCAACACGATGGTTAAGAAAGGGAGAGCTGCAAACGCAGGTGTTGGGATAGATAAAAAAATACAGAAATAGTCATTTTGAGACTGGATCTCGGTGCTCTGTAAGCCGAATTAGCTGCAGCAACCATCAGTAACGTCAGCGATGAGGCAGGTTCTCTAAAAACCGAGTGTTACAGCAGCTTTTCTCAGCAGTCCCACCATCGCTGCACCGACAGAAGGACGAAGCCGTTAAAATGGAGCTGAGCGTCAGCTGAAGAAGGGAACTGTCCTTCGGCAGCCTGCTCCGTCAGCGCTAGCTCCGGCGTACGTACCCGTCCGAGCAGCCGCGGGTCTAAACTCGCTCCCGTCACCCGGTGAGCGTCCTATCGATAAACGGGGATGAGCGAGCGGGACCGGGCCGCGAGCGATGCCCGTTACGCGGCCAGTCCCCGCTCCAGCTTTGCGTTAATTTGAGCCCAGCCACCTGCTCTGGCACGTCAGAACCGGCCCTCGGCAAACGTCCGGTCCTGTCTCCCCTCACACAGGATGAGAACTCGGGTCGAGCCTACCGGTGCTGGGCAGTGCCCAGCTCTCGCTCCCCGGGAGCGGGAGGAAACCCCCCACCGCCGCTGACCCCGGGGACGTCACAGTGGTTACCCAGGGCCGCCCTGACAATCCACCCGCCTCAAGAGTCCAGCCCGGCGGCCCAATCAGGGGCCTCGCCGCGCCTTGCGTCACAAGCCGATCACCGTAGGCCGTGGCCAATCAGCGGGCGCCAAGACCCGTCCGCGCTGACGTCACGGAGCGGCTGAGGGGGGGGTTGGGCTCGAGGGCGCGTGCGCGCGTTTCCGTTACCGCTGCCGCGCGCGCGTGGCAGGCGTGAGGGGAAGAGGGAGGAACGGAGGGGAGAGGGGAGGCGACGGCACCGCTGAGGCGCGCGGGATCGGTTTCCCGCTTCGTCTCCCACCGGCAGCGAGAGGCAAAGGCAGCTGTCGCTTCCCCCCTTCCCCCGCCCGCGGTGCCGGGGGAGCGGCTCCGCCCGGGCCCGCCAGTGACGCGGGTGGGAGGGCTGAGCGCCGCGCCGGGCCTCGGGCCTTGTAGGCCGCTGTCGGCGTGACTCGGCCGGGCCGGGCCGGCCCCCCGCGCGCTCAAGATGTCGGCGCAGGCCCAGATGCGCGCCATGCTGGATCAGCTTATGGGCACGTCCCGGGACGGTAAGTGACCCCCCGGCCGGGGATGGGGCGGGGGAGAGGGAGACGGGGTGAAGCCGCCGAAGCCCCTGAGGTCACGGTGGTACCGGGCAGGTCGGCCGGCGGGC